TTTTCCTAATAAGAGGAAGGATTGGAAGATTTTCCTAATCTCCAGGAAGGATTTGAAAAGTTATATAGTCCAACAGAGAGAGTTTTAACCTTTCTCTCTGCCTCCCACACTGTCCTCTTCATTTAGTGCCCTTTCCTCAGCTTTACCGTTACATTTGAATTTAAAATCTCATTCAGGTGTAATTCAATCAACAGATACTTATTGGATTTCCTTTATGTGTGTAGCCCTGTGCTGAGTATGCTATTTTCCTCTCAGTTTCTAATGGAGAGATGCCAATAGAGCCCTCATTCAGATGCCTCTGGATGTGGAAGAGCATTTTTGCCTAGAATATCTAACTGCTACTTTGACAAATGCTCTATTTAATGGACAGGCCAATTGGGATAATTTAGACCAGAAATTAATGGTTTGGGAAGCTGAACTGTCCTGGGTTGGTGTTTTTTATTCTTTTTGAGGAAGATTAGCCCTGAGCTAACATCACCACCAATCCTCCTTTTGCTGAGGAAAATTGGCCCTGAGCTAACATCTGCACCCATCTTCCTCTATTTTATATGCCTGATGCCCGCCACAGCATGGCTTGATGAGCAGTGTGTAGGTCTGCACAGGGGATCCAAACTGGCGGGCGAGCCCCAGGCCACCAAGTGGAGCATGTGTAGGGGAGGAAGACATTTCTTCTTCCCAAATGGGGATTCATCTGGCCGGAGAACAAACTAAATTCACATGAGACAGATAGCAAGAGAAAATTAAACAAAGCTTTATGAGGAACCATGGTCCGGGGCCTTTCTTCCCGAAGGAAGAAAGGGCACCGAAGAAGTGGGGTGCACAGAGTGGTTTTATACCCCCAAACAGGGTGTTTCACATGTGATTGAAATGTCCCTCCCACAATAGTCACAAGATTGCCCTGTCGGCACAGTGCTTGATGGACACAGCAGGTAATGGTCTGCTATCTCGGTGGGCGTAGCAGGAGGCAAGTCTATAGTCTGGAGCTGGGCGGTCACAGGTGAGCACAGCAATCAGTTGCTAGCCTAAGGAAAGATGCTTAATCCTTAAGAAATGCCAATGTTGGGAGGGGGAGAGAAGTCAGTTACAGGAGGTTACCAGACTAGCACAATAAACAAATGCAGATTTAAGTCCTTGCCTTTGGCATTGATTAAGAGTTTCTAGAGAGAAGGTCATCCCCTTTCTTCTTCCTGGTACAGAGGGGGATATCTTTACAGATGGAGATTTCCTTTACAATGTAAATGTCTCCTAACAAAGGGCAAGCAAGTTCCACTCCTCAGAGCCTCCTTCCCTGTCCCAGTTTATCAAAAGCAATCAGCCCAATAATCCTCATGCCAAAGAGACATATCTTGGGGTGGCCAATTCCAGTCCCCACTCTTGGTACCTTCAGTCTACTGCTCCTTTGAGAAACTATAAATATTTCTTCAATGGGGAGCTCTTAAAAGGGAGAACAAATGAGTTGTATTTTTAGACAAATGGAACTAAAGTTGGAAATTATTCACAGACAAATGGTTATGAAAATCTATTCTAATGTCTTCAGTCTTTCCCACTTAAAAAGTGCACTGTCTACACCCGGGGCTCAGTGCCAGACAGCGGGAAGGTAAGAGTGAGCATTGTCTGGGGAGTTTTTGGTGAGTGACGTGGCAGTAGTCTCATTAACAGTGTAATACTTCCATATTACCACGTGCTTTAACTTCAGAGTCCTGGAGTTTTAAGTTGGTGTAATGAAATCCCAGGGTATTCACTTACTCTCTTAACCACTAACATTTAAACAGACTCAAGCCTCTTCCATTAAAAACAATGACTACTCCACCTTCCCCTGACTCCATCTCCCCTCCAGCTACTGGCTTCTCTCTCTCTCTCCACAGCTAAACTTTCCACCTCTGGATGTGCTCACTCTCTCTCTTTCCTCTCCATCCGCTCACTTCTGATCTGACTTTCACCTCCATCTACCAAAATAGCGCCAATGCTCCACGAACCCTTTTCAGTCCTCATTTTACCCAGTTTGTCCCTTCTTGAAACACTTTCTTCTCTTGCTTCCATATTCTCCTGGTTTTCCCCCACCTCCCTGATCTCTTTTGTATAGATTCCTGTATATGGCTGTTCCATGTTAAGATTTCTCAAAGCTCAAGTCCTAGGCCACGTTTTCTTCTCATTTTCTAATCTTTACTGAGGCAATCTCATCCACTTTTTTTTTTAATTTTTTTTTAGGAAGATTGGCCCTCAGCTAAATCTGTTGCCAATTTTCCTCTTTTTTTTTTCCCTCCCCAAAGTCCCAGTACCTAGTTGTAGGTCATTCTAGTTCTTCTATGTGGGATGCCTCCACAGCATGGCTTGATGAGTGGTGTGTAGGTCTGCACCTAGGATCTGAACCGGCGAACACTGAACCACCAAAGCAGAGTATAAAAACTTAATCACTCAGCCATGGGGCCAGCTCCCTAATCTCATTCACAAAACTCTTCTCTGTCCGTTCTCCCTAGGTTGCCTAGGTAACTCTATGCATCTGCCAGTTGTAAGGTCGCTTCTTCACAGAAGCCTTCCCTGACCCCTGAGACCGAATCAAATCTCCCATTCTGCAGCCTCATAGCAGCCAGTGTCTCATCATAGAAATTATCATCATTTATGTTTATACATTTTGTTGTATAATGATTTGGTTAATGTCTGTCTTGCCTACTAATCAATTAGTTCACTGAGGGCAAGGACTATAGTTATTATTCTTACCATTTTATCCTCAAAGCCTAGTGCAGTGCCTGGCACATAGTAGGCACTCAATAAAAGTTTCTCGAATGAATGAACAAAGGCATGAACAAATGAAGATCATAGTGACTTGCTCAAGGTCAAGATGGCAAGACTGAGACCAGAGCCACGTATTCTAATTTCCACTTCAGATTACTAGCCTTGTTACAAAGAGCTTGTCTAGATTGTTCTGAGTTGTTGGAACCAAAGCAACTTCACAACTCATCAAGTCCAATTTCTCAACCCTACCATTTTCTATGGATGGCATTTATTCATGGAGGGGATGCTGTAGGAATAGTAATTTTTCCTTTTTTCTATGAAACATGTGCTATCTTGTTGCTCTATTTTGAAAGTGTGTTATGATAAACCATGACACTATTTAAAATTTGTAAAGCTTCTAGGGATTCTCAGAAGAAATATAAGGCATAGGTCACAAAGAACAATTTTGTCTCTTGCAGTAGAATTTCCTGTTCAAAAAATGCTGCTAGTTTGAAAAGCTGGTATCTCCAAAAAAGTGTTCTATTAGATGGGATAATCATCATCATACTCCCAGCTGCTGTGTATACACTTCTCTTAAGAGTGAAAATGGAGAAAGCCACTTTGCTGTGGGGAAGTGCCTTGTGTGTTTTGTAAAATGTTCGGTGGTTGGAGGAGAGGCCGCTGTATTTACGAGACAAATTGTTCACTGTTACCCCTGAAGAAGCTTGAAGAAGTGATTCTCAAGGATCTTTGTGCCGTGGATGAAAATGGAATCATTATTTTTGAACTCCCCCTGCTCACGTAAATGACTCCCACCTACAGCTGATCCACTGGTTATAAGTAGCCATGAATCACCCTGCAGATTGTAGGCAGGGTAACCAACCAGGGCTGGCTGAAACCACACTCCTGGTAAGCTTAATTAGCCCTTTCTGTGTGTTTCATCTTCATTTCGCCTTGGGGTGGGAGAGAATCTCTTCTTACGCTGGTGTGGTGTGTGTCTGTCTCAGATGTGTGTGTTAAACGCATTTCTCAGTTTGGGTTTTTTTTTTTTTTGAGATTGCTCTCTAATACTTGAGAGTAATTTAAGGTTAGTTTTTTTTTTTGTTTTTTTTTTTAAGAATTACACTTTGGAGACAAAGCACATTTTCAAAGATGAAAAGGTATACTCAGGCTTTCTAGGTCATATTATTAATTGCTTTGCTTATCACTCTATAATGTGCTCATCATCATGGACTCCTTTAAGCTAATCAACTGGATTTGGGGGGGGCCTCATTTGCAAACGAATCTAGGAAAAAAGGGCTGCAAAATTCAGGTCAACCAATGTACTATTTCTTTTTCCTTGTCTCCCTTTAAAAGTGTTTCCACTTTCTTTTTTCTACTTTTGCCCTCCCTTCTCCTCTCTCTCTCTCTCTCTGTGACCGTTGACATTTCCCCGATCCTTCCTTTCACTCAGCTTCATTCCACCATGCCCAAAGCATGCCTGCTGCTGTGTGTTGCCCTGGTGCTGCTTGGGCTTGTGCATGGAGCGATGCTGAGAAATGAAGAGAAATGGAAGTCACTCAACAACCCCAGAAACCGAGATCTTGTAAGGACATACACTGGGACGTGCTGGGCTGCAGGCTGGATTCCTACTCACTGCGCTCTGCTAGCACACGGTGGAGAAGAGGCCACCAAGCGCTGAGAAGATCCCCCAACGGGACCAGACAAGAGCTTTGCTAGCCTAGTCCTATTGGCATCTTATTGTTCCTCTGGCCCATTTACATCTGTTTCTGTAAGGAGAAACAAAATGATGTTTAGAAATTATCTTATACACACAGAGCACATTACATTCGTAAATGGTCTTATATACACATGGACTTTATAGCCTTGATCTCTAGTACATATACAACCAGGAGTGTAACAGGGAATTGCTTATTGCACAGCTTAGGTGGAACTGATAATCAAAGAGAGTCTCATATAACCAACACTTGCAAAGCTCAATTGCAAAAACAGAAAGTTGACCTGCATTCTTATCAATTTACTAGGCATTATTTTCAACATAAAGTTATCTAGGAAATAGAATTCAGAAGATCAGTAAAAATTCTCTTTTAAAAAATACACCAGATACAGTAAACATGCTGACATTACTATTTCAAAATATAGTTTTCCTAAAGAAAGTGATGTGAAACATAACCACATAGGATGAAAATGACCAAACAGCACTGTGCACAGCTTTTGTACATTCACTTCCTAAAGGAAAGCGGAACCCCCGTGTCTGAAAAGAAACTTGCAGAAGTCAGTGACCGAGATCTGTGTCGGGTCAGTCAGGGAGGAGGCGCCGAGCTCTGAGCACTGTGGGCTTCCTTTTAAAGTCTCGGGCTTCGGCACTCAGAGATGGACGATGAGCCTTCCGACTGTGGTGCTGTCCATAGCCGATATTCCTCTCTCGATTCACCAGTAGGACATTATCGTGTTAAGGGTTGCAGGGGCGGAAAGAAGGCACGGTGGAGGATGATGGAGGGGAGGAGAAGCAGCAGCCGAAGTTGGTTTCTGAGTTTTCCACCTCCCGCCTCCTAGATTAGCCCTAAAGTCAACTCAGGGGGAAAACATTCATTTTTGGTGTTTAATTTATATATGGCATTGAACATTCTTTTTCTCTATTCAGTTTTTCAGAACCCTTCAGGCATATTTTAAGGGAAGAGGTCTTGATCTTGTGAGGTTTCCAAATACTTTCTCCGTGAATGAAAATCCCAGACCACTCTCTTTCCGGTCAGAACTTATTGCTTCTGCATTTGCAGATTATGAAGAGCAGAAAAACTCCTTTCCCGATTACCTCAAGGCTGAAGTTTCTCCTCAGCGCAGGTAAACTTATCTCTTTGTTCCCAGGATCTGTCCCAACATACAACTCAGTCATGAAGTCATAAAGAGATTTTGAAAGCATTTATTTGAAAAGTGATTTTATTTCCTGATATAAATATGTGCTCAGTTCTGACGATACTTGTGGCTGTTAATATTTGGATTTGGTTCAGGTATTTTATGGTCTGGTTTTAAAAAGAAATGACAGTTAAGATTTTTTAAGCACAGTTTTCTCAGGAGAGATATGTTAATTATTAGAATTATCAGTCTTTTTTTTTTTTTTTTGGTTAAGAAGATTCACCCTGAGCTAACATCTGTGCCAACCCTCCTCTATTTTGTATGTGGGATGCCACCACAGCATGGCTGATGAGTGGAGTAGGTCCATGCCTGGGATCCAAACTGCTCAACCCCAGGCCGCCAAAGCAGAGCATGCAGAACTTTAACCGCTTGGCCACGGGGCTGACCCCTAGAATTATCACTCTTAATAGGATTATTAAGTATAATGAAACACCACACACTTTTTTTTTTTATTGAGGTCATAATAGTTTACAACATTGTGAAATTTCAGTTGTACATTATTATTTGTCATTCACCATATAAATGTGCCCCTTTACCCCTTGTTGCCTCCCCCCAACCCCCTTCCCCTTTGGTAACCACTAAACTGTTCTCTTTGTCCGCGTGTTAGTTTATCTTCTACTTATGAATGAAATCATACGGTGTTTGTCTTTCTCTATCCGGCTTATTTTGCTTAACATAATACTCTTAAGGTCCATCCATGTTGTTGTGAATGGGACAATGTTGTGTTTTTTTACAGCTAAGTAGTATTCCATTGTATATATACACCACATCCTCTTTATCCACTCATCAGTCGATGGGCACTGGGGTTACAGTGAATACTGAAGCAATGAACACTGGGGTGCACAAGTCTCTTTGAATTGTTGACTTCAAGTTCTTTGGATAAATACCCAGTAGTGGGATAGGTGGGTCGTATGAAATACCACACACTTTTATTACCTCTCTCTTTTTTTTTTTTTATTAAAGATTTTTATTTTTTCCTTTTTCTCCCCAAAGCCCCCCGGTACATAGTTGTATATTCTTCGTTGTGGGTTCTTCTAGTTGTGGCATGTGGGACGCTGCCTCAGCGTGGTCTGATGAGCAGTGCCATGTCCGCGCCCAGGATTCGAACTAACGAAACACTGGGCCGCCTGCAGCGGAGCGCGCGAACTTAACCACTCGGCCACGGGGCCAGCCCCTACCTCTCTCTTTTTTCAGACCAGGTCGTGCAGCTAAGTTATATGGAAAATCATATATAAAAAAATATGTCGGATTGTGCAGTTGGATTGAATGGAAAGTAAAAGTTAAAAGAATGGTTCTCTTTGGGGGAGAAAGTATTAAGCATATATTTGAGCTTGAACTTCCTCACCTGGGGGAAAAAAAGTAGAATATAAGTAAAGATGACATTTTTCTCACTGAAAAAAGTAGAAATGTATTTATGTTTAAGATTTGAATTTTATTATTCTTATTACTTTAGTATTCCTAGCAAATAAACACCTACCGTTTAAAAAGGAACAGGTAAGGTGCATTCCAAGAAAATACATTTTGCTTCTCATCTATTAGCTTTTTGTTCAGCTGAGTAATAAAGGGAAATGGATCATAATTAAAATCTACTCTCATTCTTCCACAAGCATACTGATGAAATTGTGAGAAAGCATAGCGTTGTTGCATTTCATTATGCTTGTGAAAGGATTTTGATTATTAGTTCTTTTAAACGTGATGATTTTTTAAAGATAATGATTGTTATTCTAAAAAGAAGATGCAACTTACCATGTGGCGTATGCACTTGAAAACTGTCCTACAATGAGAAAATAAAACAGGATTAACAAAAGGATGTTAATGAAAGGTTCCCTTGACTATTTGTCACACTTAGGCCCTACAGTAGCAGACACTAAAACAGAGAATACTTATTAATACCACAGTACCTACTTCAGTATGAGACAGTGTTGCATACAAATTGCTTACCTGTTCATTTCTTCAACTATAATTTGCAGATACTAATCTCTAAGTCATAGAAAGTGTCAGAGAAAACATCGAATACCTGCTTTCATGTGAGTGTGGACTGAGGTAATGTTTCAGGCAGGGAACAGAGAAAGCACCCTGTGGGTGAGATTGTAATTTAATGGGAATTATTCAACTTTGTGAAAGAAGCGCAGCTCCTGATTTGGAGAATATTTCATAATTATGAGCTCTCCTTTCCTGACATCTCTGATTAGAAAGTGAAGACAAAGGGAGTTTTCAGTGAAATATGTTGATCTCTGGGTGTTTGTGTTAATTGTGAGTCTTCATTTTCTATTTCATTATAACATTTTCTTGTTCTTTTAGGCGTCTGGCTATTTTCAAACTACCGATGAAGCATCTCATTAGAAAAATTCAACCATGGCCATGGCTAAACTTTTGTGTGATTTTTTTCCCCTCCATTTTTTTGTCAATTTGTAATGATTTTATTCTGATTTCCAGATTTAGATATAAATGGCTTGAGCTGTGGGACATATGTGACTTACGTGCATATGTTTGGTGTTTTTTTCCGTTCTATAACCATAAATACTGATGGAGAGCGCTGTGTATATTTGCAAGAGTTACAAAAACACCGTAAATTTAAAAGAAATGAAGAGCTTCTAGATTACGTTTCCTTTTAAGCTTGTCTTGTATGTTCATTACCTTTTATCAATCACTGTTTTCATTTGCTCATTTTTGCTCTAGTTTATTATATGTAACAGGGATTTGGGTTTAACATATTTATCTTTTTCCTTAAAAAAGATGCATTCTCACTGTCAACATACGCTGTTGAAAGACCTCACAGTCTTATTTTCATAGCAAGGGAAAGTGATAAGCATCCGCAATTAAGTTAAAATGGAAGGCAACGAAACATGAGATTCCAGGAGTTGCCAGGGTCTCTGGGAGACGTTCTCTGCGACTATGTCCAGAGGTGGACATTGTGCTACACCAAATATCCTAGCCACGCCTCTGCTCTGGCTCTCCCACACACAACCTCCTCAAGAAGGGAGAGTGGAAATGGGTGGATTTCCCTTCTTTTACAGCCAACCCTCACCTCCACCCCAGCTCGGGCCAAATTACTCTGATTCTCATGTTCTCACTTGGAAGAGCCACGTTCCTGTGTCTTTATGGAGAGCTGCATTGTTTTCTCTGTGATTCCTGCGAAAGGAACATTGTACTAGAAGCAAACATCAGTGTCTTAATAACACATCTGTACATTCCAAAATAGTTTTCTGTGGCTTTTTTGTGGATGACTGATACTGAATATCAACAATAAAATATTTATACAAGATCAGATCCTGTGTCTAGTTCAACATGTTTTGTTGTAATTAGTTGTGTATGTGTCTGATTTCCCTGGAGGGTTGTGAAGTCTTTGTGAGCAGAGATCATATCTAAGCCATTTTTATTTCTCCAGCAACTAGCACAATGCCTAGTTTGTTCAATGAGTACTTGTTGGATTGAGGTAAATGTGTGCCATTCTGCTATTTTCACACAGTAATGGAAGTTGCTTCTAGTTAATGTCAAGAATATATATATATATTTTATCTTTTAAAAGATATAAGTGGGGCTGGCCTGATGGCGCAGCGGTTAAGTTCACATGTTCTGCTTCAGCAGCCCAGGGTTCGCCAGTCTGGATTCCGGGTGTGGACCTACGCACTGCTTGTCAAGCCATACTGAGGCAGGCATCTCACACACAGAGTTGAGGAAGATGGTCATGGATGTTAGCTCAGGGCCAGCTTTCCTCAGCAAAAAGAGGAGGAGTGGCAGCAGATGTTAGCTCAGGGCTAATCTTCCTCAAAAAAAAAAAAAAGATATAAGTGATACATAGCCTATTCAGCTAAATGGCAGAGTGGTGGGGAGTGTCCCACCACTGTCCTGTTCCACTCAAGTACAGTGCTTTATTTTCCTTTTCCCTTTTACCACCCTGCTCTGGAGTCAAGAGGAATACTTATCAGTTTCACGGACTTTGAAAAGAAAGGGCATCCACACAGGATTTAACTATGAGCTTGCAATGTCTCAGGGTAGGGGCATGCATCGTTCTGCTGGAAAATTCCTCACAAGTGGCAGGTGGCTGTTGATGGAAGGCCTACACTCTGCACTGACTAGAGTTTCTTCACAGTGATGCTGTTGGCAGTTGGAGGACAGGTCTTCACTGTGTGTGACACTTTAGCAAGCCTGGTCCCCAGACACTATCTGTTAGGAGTTTCCCACCCCTGCCGTATTATTTTGACGACCAAGATCTCCCTACACACATCCCTAAAAGCCCACTGGGGAAGTGGAATGTTTCCTCCAATGCAAATAACTGTTCTGCAGGTGATCTGGGCTCTCAAGGGGTCGGCAGTACTTCTCTACACAGGTCCTTGACAGCCTCTCAACAATGACTCTGATCCTCTTTGATGAGCACCCAATTCCTCATCCCCAGGCATGGCCTCTTGTCCACTGTCCCAGATCTGGGGTGGTCAAGAACTGTTAAGGATACGAGGTTTTACCCTACTTGCAAGTGACACGCTAGCCCACTACAGCTTCACAGATGCTGGCAGACACCTGAGACTCCTGGGTCTGAGGCAGCGGACTTATCACTCATGGCACAGCAGGCAGCATGAGTTTTACATTCTCAATGGTTCTCCTTATCCCCCAAGTATCATGGGGGCCACGAGGAGGTGGGCCCAGGTGTATGCAGCGCACAAGTAGGTTTGGGCCACAGCTGAGGAACCCCAAGCTTAGGAAAACCCCACACTTATAAGGAGGCTACTAGCAAACATGCCCAAACTTTGCCCAGAGAGAGACACTATTTCTCTCTTTCTCAAGGCTCTCTGTTCTGCAGACATCTTTGAAAAGATAGCTCAGAAGGAAGGCTCTCACAAGCTTTTGCAGAAAAGTGAGAGACCCATGGAAAACTTGTCTCCCCAAAAGGGTCACACCCACAGACAAGGAGGAAGGATGGAGTCATCTCCTTCTCATGTACTCTTAATTCTATTGTCATGGCACAAATTCAATGTTCTGCTTTCTTCAGACTTTCCATTTTGGTACTCAAAAATCATTCTTAAAGCCTGAGAAGTTTCTTCTTGCTATTTTCATGGCTGCTATAACAATCCCACTTCATCTCAAGGAAACGCAGATGCCTCTGATTCACCCGGGGACAAATCGCTTAAAGTAAGTGGAGAAAAGAAAAACAGAACGATTACAACGTCAAGATATGTTGCTACATTCTGACCTGTAAATGAACTTTCACGTCATCGACCTGTTCCATAGCAGAGAGACTATCCTTCCAGCCCTTGCTCCCTGCCCGCCGTTCTCCCCAACATGAATCTGTATCTTTACAACAGGTATTGCCGTATTCCTGGCAGCCAGTAATAAAACAAGCTAGTCTAAGCCATCTGGGTCCAGGAGAGCGTTCTCCTTACCAGGTGACCATCTTTCCTCCCTTTGATTCCCTCCTTCTCCCCTGGGAGAGTTAGGACTAGAGCCTCTTGACTTCCTCTTAGATGTCCTTCCCTGACTGCCCAGAGAAATTCAGGAGAAGGTTTTGCTATAAGTGATTTCTGTGGATTACCTTGACCCAACCCACACGCTAGCCCCCTATATTTCATACCCATGTAGGGCCCTGAGGAGCCTTCATCATGAGAAAGGGGATGACTTCTAGCTGTGAGATATTCTTCTCTCACCCCAAGTCCCCCTCTCGCAGGATGGCCCCTCATTCTGCCACCCGTCCCACTGCTGCTTTTATCCTCATCCGCCTTGTAGTAAAGAGGCACCGCCCGCCACGTGGTAGGCTCCCAGGAATCCTCTCTAACCTTGTTTGCATGTGGAGCTGCATTCCCCATACCGCGACTCCCTTGCCCATTCCCGAGGCACTTTCAATTCCATCCGATTTAATTCAGAAGGGTATTTTGAGCACAGATTGCTAGGCTACAGAGGAGAGTTCGCAAAGGTGCTATCAGGTAGTGCTGTTCTCAAGAGGTTGACGGCTAGCGTCTCTAGAACAGCAGAGAAACAGAACACAAGGTAAAAGACACACCACAACAGTGTGCAGGAGGTGAAAAATACTTCCACTGAGGCGAGGCGGTATATCACATTAATTCCTAGCATGGGATTTGGAGTTGGATAGACCAGGGTTCAAATCCTGGTCCTACTTCTTATTAGATACTGGACTTTGGCATTAGCGACAACAATATCCTTTTTTAAGGATTATTTTGAGATATGCATGTAATATGCATAAGACAGGACATGACCTACAGTAAACGGGCAACAGGGTTTGATTATCATATCAAGCATTCGACTCTTTGTAAAAGTTTGTGAAGAAAACTAGGGTGAGAGTTAGAGGCGGAACATAAAGTCCAGATGAACTTATTTACAGGCTGAGAAGAAGCCCGAGGAAAGCAGAGTTTGAGGATTTGGGGAAGACGGGAAACTGACGGTGCCTTTGATTGGGGGAGGTGAGATTGACAGCGTAGCCTGGGCGAGGACTCCGGCTTCCGCGGCGCATGCACGCGGGCGGGCAAGCGGTTAAATTAAGAAGAAAATCACTACGGCAAAGATCAAATTAACTTACAGAACAAACATCCAGAAAGGGAAATGGATTGGTAGTGAGGACCCTAATGGGGAATTGAGGGAAATTATTTAAAGACAATTTCTTTAAAGCACATTTCTTTTCAACTTCCTAACAATCTGCAGCAGGAGGTCAGAGCCGGAGGCCGGCGCACCGAGGCTCCGCCCCTGGGCGGAGCGGGGCCAGACGCGGCGGCGGAACCCGAGCGCGGCGGCCGCGGTGCAGGCCGGGCCCGTTTCTCGGGAGCACGCCGGTCCCTGCTCTCGGCGCCGGCGCGGAGCGAAGTTGGGAGGGGCAGCTCTTCCCGGTTCTGTCCCGGTTCTTGGGGCTGTGTATCCGGCCCGCAGACATGTCGGGGTTCAGCCCGGAGCTTATCGACTACCTGGAAGGAAAGATCTCCTTCGAGGAGTTCGAAAGGCGGAGAGAAGAGAGAAAAACTCGCGAGAAGAAAGTGAGGCGCCGCTAGGCTGGGATGCCCCTCACCGTCCTGTCGCCCTAATGCCCTTTGGGAGATGGGGGTCCCCGGTGACCGCGTTCCCTGGGATGCGGCGGGCCGGGAGTTCCCAGCAGTTTCTTCCCGAAACCCCAGGTCTCACCTCCGCCCTGTGCTCTAAAAACACTTCCGCCACCGGCAAGCTTTTGTCCCCGTGGTAACCTCTTCTCTTGTGCCAATAGGACATTTTACTTGAGGGTCGCTTAGCGCCGGTAGTCGGAGTGGGGACTGGAGTTTGCAGTCGGAGTTCTGCTTCTAGTCCCAGCTTTGCCACCAAGTCTTCCTGGGCGTTTGGGCAACTCACCTCTCTAGTTCTAAACTGAGAGGTGTGAGCTCCCATTTTTGAGGAGTCTCCCGATGGTGTCGTGTAATCTTCCACCAAAAAAAAGAATTTTCTTGTCTGATAACAAAATCTTCACTCTTACGTATTTTTTCATACTTAGGAGGAAATATCTGAACTTTCCGTATCTTCTCACTTATTTCAAGTGTGAGGGAAAATAAAAGTAATCGCACCTTTAAAATTAGCTGGTGGATTCTTTCCTTATTCATGTGACCATCTATTTTCATTTAAAAAGCTAGGATACAATGTAGATTAGTGAAATCATCAAGATATTGTATCTTTCTCTGAAAGGCTTTGACAACATTCAAATATAGATTCCATGTACTGTGTATGTGTGCAGAACTCAAGTATTTATAGAAGTCGAAAATAAGGCAGATGCCCTATTCTCAACTGGAGAGAGAGAAACCTGCCATGGTTTTTGCAATCATTAATTAATTTTCAATCCCAGAGTCTTCAGGAGAAAGGAAAGTTATCAGCAGAAGAAAATCCAAATGACTCTGAAGTTCCGTCATCATCAGGAGTTGACTCTTCCAGATCCCAGGACAAAGATGGCAATGAAGGTATGCTAAGATCATTTGCTACTTGCATTAAATGTTAAAACTACCAAATAGTTTAGTGAAAACATTATTTTTTCATTGCAGTGGTATTCTGTTGTTGATTACTTGGTTTATCAGGAGCGTAGTGCTTGGTATATAGTGGATGCTCAGTATTCGTTGAGTTATTAAATATGGTGATGGTTTTTTGTGTGGAAAAAGTGTTTGAAATTGACATCAGTATTTGTTTGGAAGCCTTTTTAGTGTCATTAGTTTTTAAATTGGCCTTCTCATTTGGTTACTAATTACTTCCAGAGTATACTCCCCAAAATTGTAATGAATTATATTTCTATCCGCAGTGGCTTCCAAACCACTGCTTTAGTTATGCGAGGTGAGATAGAAATGTCAGAGTGGAAGGCCAGCTGACTGCCCGGATGGGGCCTCACATGCAGCATGGGTATCTCCGTATGCTACCCCATTCCAGGATCTACTCCTCAGCTCTGCATGTGCAGATATTAAATTTGGTTAGTGCACCCAGACTAATTAAACTCATCAGAGCCTAATTGATGGATTACTATGCAAATTTATTAATTTCCAGTGATCTATATAGCTTTCTAGTGATCAGAATATTGATAATAGTTCATGGTATCCATTTACACATATCAAGTTACCTGGGATGCTGAACTATCAATTAGAATGTAACTTCATTTGTAGGGTCTGATTGAAAACTAAATTAAGCTTTCTAGTCCTAGAGGGTAGATGTAGAGGCTGATTCTTTTCCCTCTGAACAAATAAGCCTTTGCACAGAGGAAACATACTAGAGTGAGCAGAAAACAAATGAGCTTTATTCCTGCCTCCTCGGACCAAGTGGGGAAGAAAAGACCTAGAAGAGTGCCAGGCAAGTGGAGTGGAAAAGGGGGCTGAAGTTGTGCTAGCAACCCGGGGGTCCTTCCTTACCTGCTCCGGGGAGGAGCAGCTGTTGCCTCATCAGGTCTCTGAGCTGCAGCTGTAGCAGCAGGTGCCACGGGGTGCCCGCCAGTCTTCTTGCCTAAAGCTGCCCCTGGGAGGTGGCCATCAGGCCCTCCGTAAAAAGAGGGATTAATGGAATCCAATTCTACCTCATCATGAGCAGTCAGATGCGCACCGACTAATAACAGTCCCATCAAATAGGACAAATAATAGTCGAATAATCCCATCAGTCCTTTTAAGATATAAAGCTCCCAGTTTCTCAGGAAGGAATTGTCCCAGAACTTTACCGAGACCCTTGGTGAGTATGAGCATGTCTTCAGAGCCGAAGAAGGAGTCAGTTTGAACAGGCTTTGGCAAAGTCTGCTAATTGGAATATATGGCCGCTGGAGTCAGTCTTTCTTTTCTCCTGTGCCTTGCGGGGAATACTACTGCTAAATTCTTATTCTTCAGCACCTTTCCTTCACGCCATGCAGATAGAGTCTTCCTTTAATTTCATTCTCAGTTCATTGTTGCTGATACAAAAACTACAATTAATTTTTGTGTATTGACCTATCTAGGAACCCCGCTAAATTCATGTATTCTGACAGTTTATATGTAGTTTCTTTTGGATCTTCTATGTGCCTAATCATGTCATCTGTGAATAATGACAATTTTATTTCTTCCTTGCCATCTTTATGCCTTTTATTTCTCTTCCCTTACTACATTAGTTAGGACCTCCAGTAAAATGTTGAAAAGAGTGACAATGGCAGGCATACTTGTCTCATTCCCAGTAACTTTGAATAATTCACCATTAACTGGAAATGTTTTTAGCAGATATTCTTTATCAGATTAAAGATATTCCTTCTATTTCTAGTTGACTAAGAATTTTTAATAGGAATGGGTGTTGGATTTTATCAAATGCTTCTCTGTAGCTATCAAGATGGTCATATGATTTTTCTCCTTTGTTACTGTAATAAATTTTATTGATTGACAAGGTTTTATTTCACACATTTATTTATTTATTTTGGATGTTCAGAATTCTTGAGGATGATCGTTATGACTTCATAATAATAATTACTTATTCGTTGCTCATAAAATATATTTTTTTTATTATTCTGTTCTTCCTTGAACATCCTATCTCAGTTAGCCATCATTTTTGGGGTTTGAGGTATTTCACATAAGAGAATAAGCTTAAGGATTTTTGAACACAAATATATATATATATATATATATATATATATATATATACACACATACGCACACATGTGTATTTTTAATTTTAACTATTTTGTTGGGACTTTTCTGAAATATGTTACATGTCTCTGCTTCAACAGAAAATTAACTTCTAAACTTAACCTTTTCTTGATCATTCATGATCATCATTATGAACTTAGAAAAATCGTTGTACTATAATGGTATCCTCAGATGCAAATGAAGTATGTGATGTTATTTTGTTCCTGAAATAATAATACTTTTTAATATTAATAATAGCATTTATTAAGCTCTTACTTTCTGCTGGGCATTATTCTATTCGAATATATTTAAGAACTTGTCTCATCCTCAGATTAGCCCTATAAGGCAGACATTATTATTAACCGCTTTTTACAGATGAAGAAACTGAGGCACAGAGAGCTTCAGTGATATGCCCAAGGCTCCACAGCTAGCGAGAGATGGAGATGAAGTTTGAAACCAGACAGCTCGGCTCTAGAGGCCTTGCCCTTTACCACTATTCTATACCACCTGGCTGTGTACCACCAGACTTTAATTCATAGGTCTGAGTCTTACAATTCTTTTGTTTTGGTCCTCTCTACTTTTAACTGTTGCTGCGTGTGCTTCTGATTTCCCACCTAATTTTGCCTGTCTATCTGAGACCTAATGGATGAGTCAGCAATTCCTACAGAGTGAAACACATGGCTTTGTGACAGCTTTCTTCTTTGGGTTTTTGGGAGAGTTCATTTGTCGATCTTTCACTTTCAAGTTTGGTGTTGCTAGGGTAGAAATTTATATTCCAGAGAATATTGTTTTTTTTCTTTAGACTGCTGAGTGTTCTAAAGCTTTTTTGTGTGGTTGGTTTTTCGTAACCTCAATGTGTCTGTCTTCAGGAGAAACGTCAGATGGAGTCAGTAAGTCAGTTCACAAAGTCTTTGCTTCCATGCTTGGAGAGAATGAAGATGATGAGGAGGAAGAGGACGAAGAAGAGGAGGAGGAGGAGGAGGAGGAGGAAACACCACAGCAACCCACTGCAGGCGATGTGTTTGTATTGGAGATGGTTCTCAACCGGGAGACCAAGAAAATGATGAAAGTACGTCGTTCCTTACTTCGGTATTTATAAACAGAATGCAGAAATGTGACATAGTAATTAAAAAAGAAATCTTTAAATTATACGTATATTCCAAAAGAATTCCAGCTGTGAGAAAGGAGATACTATGAGACAGCTCCTGTTACTGGTTTCTAATGTTTCATTTTAGAGATTTTTTTAATGTAAACCTCAATTGTTGCATATGTCAAAACGTACTATAGTTTTGCTGTTAAAAAGTGTATATTGTAACTTGATTTTTTTTAACCAAGTTCATTCTGAGTAGATAAATTTGAAAGAAGGAGGGTCTTCAGTAGATTACTTCATAAGTCGTCTCCTGGCATATAAATCTATTTTGCAGCATCCTCTCCTGCATTTGTTATAATTCTAATTAGTAATTTAGTAATTGCTGACTACTTTGGTTTTTGCTTTCTTTATATAGTTTACTGTACTTTGAACTTTGTACTGTAGGGTTTTTTTTTTTTTAATTTTCTGAAGTGCTCCTTTTTGGAGAGTATCATAGAATAATTTCTGCTATTTCTTGCAGTTGAGTTTTAGACTTTTTCCTGAAATATAGACTTTAATGTTAATGAGTCAGTTATAATCACAACCAAAGTCTTTAGTTCTGATTTTAAAAGATTGAAAAGTTTTAAAGAAAAATGTCAGTGTCATTAGGGTCTGTATTTGTTAATATGGTTGGAATTGAAATCTAAGACATTACTATATTTTAATCTAAGTGTCATATTTGTTCTGTACAGGAGAAAAGGCCTCGGAGTAAACTTCCCAGAGCTCTGAGAGGCCTCATGGGTGAAGCCAACATTCGCTTTGCGCGAGGAGAACGTGAAGAGGCGATATTGATGTGCATGGAAATCATAAGACAGGGTATTTTCTGTGGAATTATTCCCAACAGAAGTTTAGTAGTCTGACTTTTACAGATAGAGGAGGACTTCACTGTGCTATTTGAAAAATATGTTCAGAAGCTGGGAGTTGATTGTGATAACAGTGATTTGCACTTTTCACATTTAGTAGAACATATTACCAAGAAAATGAAAATCAGAGTATGACTCAGTGAAATATCATTAATATTTGTTGAACCCCTACAGCCTTCATTCTTGTTTTTATTTGCTTGTTTTTTAATGTTTCATCTTAGGGATTTGAGACTTTTGCATTCTGTGTCTTTTATAAATATGGCAAACACATTATGTTAAAATCGCTTGAAGAGTGTTTTTTTCTTTCTGTTTTCCAAATAAGACTGTGCTAGATTATTTTAATCTAGTTTTTGGTAAAAGACACAATTTATACTTGTCATCTTCCATTAAACTGCAGGTCTTGGCATATTGAAGGATGTCTTCAAAGGCGACTTTTTAACTAGCTGCTTGTGTTTAATATTTTCCTTTCCTGATGTGTTGCCAAATGATGCCCTGTGTAGTGGCTTGGGTAGTTGTAATACAGTGAACTTTTAATTTATCTTTTCAATATTTTGGCATTTCTTTTTATTTAGAGTAAAGTCCTTGTAGAAGTCTTGTTGTAAGTTTCCTGGATGATTCATTAGGATAAGTTGAGTCACTGCTTTTTCTTTACTACCCCATCGAAATAAGTTTAACCGAAGTTTTTTCTTCAGGATATTTTGTTTGTTTCCTACTTTCCCATATTGTCTGTTTCTTTATTTCAGTTTACAGTTGTTTGTTTTTGAGAGTTATCTTTGAGTTTAATTCCTCATAATCTTAGAACTTCATTTAAGAAACGTTCTTTCAGAAATGCAGATTAGCCATTCACTTGGATATCCTGGGTTTAGGTGCTGCTTAGGTACCCTCTCTCCATTCATCCCATCCTCCTTGGTCTGGGAGCTGGATTGTGAAGATTCACCCCCACTGACGTGGCTGATGCTCATCAGAAGGAACTTGCTGAGTTATTGAGCCATGTTTAGCTTTAGCAGAGGGGGATTTTCATGAGGGGGGCATGGTGGAGAGTAAAGTTTTTCATGAAACTACGCTTTGCTTAGAGAAAAGTATGCTTTAAAAATGCCAGAAATGGAGGCCAGCCTGGTGGCATAATGGTTAAGTTTGTGCACTCTGTTTCAGTGGCCCAGGGTTTGTAGGTTCGGATCCTGGGTACAGACCTACACACCATACAAGCCATGCTGTGGTGGCATCCCACATACAAAAAAATAGAGGAAGATTGGAACAAGCATTAGCTTAGGGACAATCTTCCTCAAGCAAAAAGAGGAAGTTTGGCAACAGGTGTTAGCTCAGGGCCAATCTTCCTCACACACACACAAAAAAAGTGCCCAAAATGTATGAAAATAAAATAAAGCAAATATAATCTAATGTTTATTCTAATTTCCATTAGGTAGTTTGTATAATTTTGTTAGAGGTATTTAAAGAGTTTAAGTATTAAAAAAAGGATTCATAATTTGAATCATGAGACTGACATCAGCTCAAGCCTCATCCCTCAGCCAATGGAATTTGTTTTTTTAAATTTCTTTTTAGCTCCTCTTGCTTATGAGCCATTCTCTACTCTTGCCATGATATATGAGGACCAGGGTGACATGGAGAAATCGCTGCAGTTTGAGTTGATTGCTGCACATTTAAATCCCAGTGACACTGAAGAATGGGTTAGATTGGCAGAAATGTCCCTGGAACAAGACAATATTAAGCAGGCTATTTTTTGCTACACAAAAGGTAATTAAAATGTTTCTTTCCTTTTGTTTGATGAAAGGTTACATAATAGGTTTTTTGATAATTGTACTTACTACTCTGAGGTGAGGTTAGCTAAAATATATTTATTTTTTATATCAGAGGTAAGTATTTGGGGCTCCTCTGTTTTCATATTTACCAGTAACTTTTTTTATAGCATGAGCTAATACAGCACAAAACTTGGTAGACGAAGAGTAAGTACCCTCAGTTTCCCACCGAGATCAGTGCTGGTTCTAAGCTGTTCCTTGAGGGTTAATATGAGACTAGGGTGATCAAAGGAAGATTAGTGAGGAGAGTCAGGTTCTAGCTGGTCTTAGATCAGGCCTTGTCGAGAGGTCCTGTGAAGGTGGATTTATTCCAAAGTAACCTGCTTGGTTCCATTGGAGAATTAGTTTAGAGTGTTTATTAAATTTTCTGAAATGAGGATGGGTCACACCCAGGTACCATGAACCCCTTTTTATGATAAATCTGTAATTTATATTCTTTTTTCTTTTTAGCTCTTAAGTATGAACCTACTAATGTCCGTTATCTGTGGGAGCGATCGAGCCTTTATGAACAGATGGGAGACCATAAAATGGCAATGGATGGTTATAGGCGCATTTTAAACCTGTTGTCTCCGTCTGATGGAGAACGATTTATGCAATTGACTAGAGATATGGCTAAGTAAGTTTGGAGTGAAAATGTATAAATGCTCTTAATGATCATCTTATTTTATAAATCCAAGTATGCATTTGAAGTAGAATATACTTTTTTGTTGAGGTTCAAGGAATTGTTTTGCTCTCTGTATTTTTTATTGTATTTAAATTTAGAAATGGGTTTTTCTTTTCAGTACTTCTCTGTTTCTAAGTCAACTGTGTGATTGCTTAGAAAAATTTGTATGTACGATTACCTTTCAAGTGCTCAGAAGCTTAAAAATGCAGCATGTTCTGAAAGGATGACTAGGTTCCCTGGTTTCCATAAATTAGTTGAAAATACTTACATTTTCAGTAATATTATTTTAAATTATTTATTGCAGATGTGCTAATGAAATGTTTGTGACCTGGGATCTTCTATAATCATTTTATCTGGAGCCAATACTAGAATAATATTTTAAGATGAAAAATTTTCTTTATGGTTGGCACATGCTACTGACTGGTATATATTTTATTCTAAAATAATATACCCAACTGCATTTACTTCTCTGATAGGCTGTACAGCAAAACAAAGCAGGAAACATTCTGGGCCTGTAATGCCTTGTGGGATGCTTTCTATTCTAGGGATGTCTATTATTATAGTATGCCAGCCTAGGATTAATCATCTAAATCTGGGTATTTTAGGGTTAACCCTGTTAGTTCCATGGCCATTGTCATGAAGATGCTTAGCTGTGAAATCATCCCCACGCTCCCAAGGATGGGTTATGTAGGAATACTGGAAGCATTCTTAGGAAATTTGAGGCAAGGCAACCCTCACTTGATCCCTGATGTATATGATGAGCATTGAGGATCTTCCCAGGTTATTTATCATTAGTCAGATCTTGAGCTGTCATGGTGGTTAGCCCACTAGGCTTCTACTGAACTATTAGATGACCTATGATAGTAGATGTGTTTTCCACTTGTATTATTTATAATCTTTTTGTTGGGAAAGATTGGTGATGAATGGTTCTGCCACTGCCAAAGAGATGTTTCCTACATGAAATTCTGTTACTACAACTTCTGATTGACATGGCTTTCTCTCTGTCCCTGCTTTCCCTCCAGAAATATTTGTTGAATATGAATTCTGTGCTCGGCACTGTACAAGGTACCAGGAGATCCAGGATTGAATGAGTTTTAAAATTCCCTGCCCTTGTGGAGCTTACATTCTAGTGGGGGGGGACAGGCAATAAGCAGATAAACAACTAAGTTTATAGTATGCCAGATGTTGATAAGTGATTTTAAGAAAAATGAAGCCGGGAGGGAGGTAGGAAGTTGAGGAATTGGAGTGTGTTATTTTCAACAGGGAGACTAGAGAAGGGCTTCATTCCGTATGTTATGGTCATGCTGACCTGAAAGTGGCTGAAGGAGATGTGGGGGCAGATTTTAGGAAGAGTGTCACAGCAAAGGGAATGGCAGTGCAGAGTCATGTTCAGGGAGGAGAGCAGGAGGTAGTGTCTTAGAGGAAGCAGGAAGATCCCTCGGCCCATGTGGGCCCAGTGTAAGGCTTTGGTTTTTACTCTGAATGAGTTTGGAGGCCATTGGAGGATTTTGAGTAGAAGAGTGACATGATCTGACTTAAATTTTAAATGCATCAGTTCTCGCTGGTCTTTTGAGAGCAGATTGAGGAATGGTTGGGGCAGAAGCAGAATGGTTGGGGCAGAATCCAGGGAAGGGATAATGGTAGCTTGGACCAGAGTAAAAGTAGCAGGAGGTGATGGGCAGTAATCAGATTCAGGATGTATTTCAAAGGCTGACTTCTTGGAGTTTTCTGATTTATTGGATATGAGGTGGGGTGTGTGTGTATGCACATGTGTGAGAGACAGAGCAAGGGAAGAGTTCTGAGGACTAAGTCCTGAGGCACTACAGTGTTTAGAAGTCAGGAAGATGAGGAGGAAACAGCAAGGGAGATGGAAAGGGAATGGGCAATGAAGTAGGAGGAAACTAAGAGAACATGGTATTCTAGAGGTTTATTGAAGAAAGCAATTCGAGGAGGAGGGGTGGTCATCTCTGTGAAATACTGCGGATAGATCGTGTAAAATGAGGGCTGAGTAGTGACATTGGAGATGGAATTGGGGGTCCTGAGGGATAGGCAGCTCTTTGGAGAAATTTATGAGGGGAGCAAAAGAATGGGGAGGTAATTGGAATGAGTTGTAGGGGTAAGAGATAATTTTTAAGTTAGGAAAAATTACAATATATTTAAATCTAGATAGGAATGATCCACAACTGAGGGACATAGTGAAGATTGATGAGAGAAAGGACAGTTGCCTGAGTGGTGTTTTTGAGTAGGTTGGAGAGAATGGGATCTACTTGGGGGTTGTCCTTATGAGAAAAGGAGAAGGCAGAAGATACGCCTGTGGGTATAGGTAAGTAGGTAGCTGTGTTGGGAATATGTGGGATGTCTGATTTGATTCTCTTTGTGAAATAAGCAAGGTCATCAGCTGAGAGTGAGGGTGGGAGAGTGTTGGAGGTTTGGAGAGAAGATGTGACATAGTTGTCTATGTCCTTGGGACCTGGCTACCCCACCGACCAGCAGCATTTGCATCACCTGAGAGCCTGTCGCAAATGTAGAATCTTAACCCTGCCCCAGCACTACTGGATTAGAATGTGCCTTTTTATAAGAAACCCAGGTGGTTGGATGCACATTCAAGTTTGAGAAGTACTGGACTAGCTAACTGTAGTAAGATTGCTGATCAGCACCATGGGCCCACTTGAGGCTAGTGGTCATTAACTTGGAATGCATCCAATCAGCATGGTCAGCTGGGCAGCTGATGGTGAAGAGTAGGCATATTTGGATTTAACCGGAGTTGGAGTTTTATCAGATGATTTTGGTAGAGGGAGAGAAGGGCAGAAGAATTGAGGAGATGTGCAAGGGAGTAATTGTAATGTTGGACTGTGCAGAAGGGGAAAGTGAGGACAGGAGGGGTACAGTGACAGTGAAAAAGTGGTAGGATCAACGCTTCGTAGATCCCATTGAGGTAGACGTGTTGTTGGTATTGGTTACAGAGGGAATGAGCTGGAATGATAGGAGGTAGCTTTGGGAGAGTAAGATGCTTGACATTGTGACATCGTTATACTGACATTGCACATTTTTCTCTGGATCAGCACTGATTATGATTTTAAAGAAGAGTTTTTTCTCCTCCCCAATATTAAGAAAATGAAAATCATAGTTAATAGAGAGTCTAAGCAAGGAAATGAATTTTATGTTCTGAATTAAATAAGCACTCATCCATTTGCCATCTATTTTTTTAGGAGTTACTATGAAGCCAATGACGTTACTTCAGCTATTAACATAATTGAAGAAGCTTTCTCAAAACACCAGGGCCTAGTCTCCATGGAAGATGTTAACATAGCAGCTGAACTGTACATTTCTAACAAACAATATGACAAAGCTTTGGAGGTAGGACCACTTAAGTGTTTCTCTGTTAGTTTTTGAACACATTTCTGTGTTCTAGTAATTCTTAAAAATTGACAGTTCCTCATTTTAGTTATATATATTACTTATATTCTAAATTATATATTTAAAGTCTGTATGGAAACAGATTTCTAGATTCTATAGTAATTCCGTATGAAATATAAAATGTAGTTATCATATGATAAAAGCTGTTGCCATTATTACAGGTACCAGATATGTCTGTACTTCAGGGAAGCAGGACTCAGCAGCCAGACTATGATTCAGTTCTTAATCTGTTTGGAAAAGTAGATTAGTTAGATACAGAGGAATTCTATATCTTCAGTTAAGCACTTGTTAATATGGTTAATATGATATAAAACTGTTAATGTATCACAGCAGTTTCTTATTTTAAAGTGATTTACTCTTGGTTTTTATAGCCCATTTATAGTAAGGGTTTACTATATATCTTTGCATTGTGAGAAGGTTTTTCATACATACCTATTGTGTGATTTCCTTTTTTTATCCCTATTCTTCTAGGTAATTACAGATTTTTCTGGAATCGTGCTAGAAAAAAAAACTGCAGAGGAAGACACTCCAGAAGAGAATAAAGGTTGTAGTTTCCTCTGCAGAGGAATATGGATAATCCTCTCCTGTTCATAATATGACATTTTGAAATTGATAGTTAGTGTTCTTATAACAGGTTTTCCCAAGAAGCTTTTTTTTCCTAAGAATGATTTTGTATCTTTTTCTTGTGAGTATTCACTCACAGGTAATCTTTGAAAAAAATTGTTTTCCGTTGTTTTTATTTCTCAGTATGCCCACTGGAACATGGCATTTCTCATTGACCCGGAGTCTTTTTAGTGCCATGTGAAAAAAGAATGGATTACTGAACAGCTTATCAAAAACCTTTAGAACTAAAGCAATTTGCTTTTCAGGAAAGACTTAAAATACTCACTATTAATTTCCTTCAAACTTAAGCATTGAAAAAATTCTACTTCAAACTTAAGCATTTACATAAAATGCTGCTTCAAACTTAAGCACAGAATTGTTTTATCCCTTTCTCAGCAAAAGACTATTTGTAGCAAAGACTAAAAAGAGGCTTTTGAATTCAAGAAGAAAACAGAGAGTTCATATATCCTTGTTTGCTGTTTTTTGTCTTTTTAGTTCTTTGTATTTCTGGTAGAAGGGAGTTTATATAGGTTTCAGATAAGTGGATAAGGTATTAAGAAGAGAATAGGAAGGGTAATTCTGCTACCAAAGGACAGATTGATGGAGGTAAAAGAACCTAGTACTGGAGTTGGCCAGACTTAGACTTGACTGTGCAGGCATTGTTTTGGAGGAAGTAAATGCGACCTTCCAGGAGATAGGGTCTGCTTCATTTGCCCCACTGTCTAAGCTTGAGTCTACAAGCTACTTTTTCTCTCTCTAATCCACAGCCAGTGAGAGTGTTACCTGCACCATACCTGATGGTGTGCCCATAGATATCACGGTGAAGCTGATGGTCTGCCTCGTGCATCTCAACATCCTTGAACCACTTGATGTGAGTAACATGAAGATCTGTACTTGAGGTACTTCAGATCACATCCACAATCTTTCCGTGAGATGACAAGAAATTTTGAGTTGACCCTAGATTTCACATCTCTTAATAACCAGGAAGTGACCATGAACATCAGATTATTTTTGTGTGAATATAAAAGCTTATAAAAGTAAAAGGTAAAAGTTTTGGAACTGGTCTTGGAATAATTTGTTTTTCTTTTAAAATGAGAACAACCCAGAGATCAGAATTTGAGATTGGGCCTTTTAGGCAATTGTTAGTTTTTGACAGCTGTTCTCTTTTGCCAACTTCCGAATAAGCATTTCATTGAATAAAAAAATGTTTCGGACATCTACGTTGCAGACCTTAGGATGAGGTGTTGAATAAAGTATATAAGTCCCTGCCCTCATGGATCTTTTGTTCTGTTGGGATTAGATAGATAATAAATAAAATAAGTATGTAAAATGTAGGATGTTAGTTGGTGATAAGTGCCCTGAAGAAAAATCAAACAGGGAAGAACAGGGAATATTGGGGGTGGGAGCAGTGGTAATTTTAGATGGGATGGTCAGAAGAGGGCTGCCGGAAAAGCGACATTTGAATAACGACTTGAAGGAAGTGAGGTCAGCCATGCAGATATCGGAGGGAGCCGCTGGCTCTCCAGAAACAGCAGCAAACACCATGGCCCTGAGGCGTGGGGGCGTTTACTGGGCTAGAGGGGAGCACAGCAGATCAGTGCTGTCTTAGCTGCTGCAGGGCCTGCCTCAGAACAGGCCTGCAGAAGTACTGTGTTGAGTGAGTGAATGATGGCAGAATGAGTTCTGTTTAACAGAGATACAGAAATGAATAGAAAATTAATTATTTAAACCTGTATTCATTAAGCCTTACTCCTTTTAGGCTTGCCTCCAAGAACTGATAAATATGTTAAAAAGAGAAATATACATAGATATGCATATTTGTAATGAGTGTTTGACTTCAGGCTTTTATTTTGGGGTCTAGCCTCTCTTGACAACACTAGTGGAACAGAATCCTGAAGATATGGGAGACCTCTATCTAGATGTTGCTGAAGCTTTTCTGGATGTTGGTGAATATAATTCTGCACTTCCGCTCCTTAGTGCGCTGGTCTGCTCAGAAAGATACAACCTCGCGGTGGTTTGGCTTCGGCACGCAGGTAATACTTTTTTTGTGGGAAGGAGAAGTTTTAATCATATAAGCAGGCAAGAACTTACTTTCCCAAGAGGAAAGTAATTCTTATAAAATATTAATGTCTTAGTGAGAGTATTTCTGATTTCAGGGCAGTTTCTTGAAAGTCGGTGTTTTAAATTGTCTTGGTATGCCACTAAGTGGCTCCTCCTCGCTCAGGCTTTGGAAGAGTGAAGAAGAAGGAGTGACGTGGCCCTGTTAAAATACCTTAAATACCTGTCTTTTATCTGTCTTAACCAGAGGCTCTGGTCTCTGGTAACAGTTTGTCAGAGTTGGAGTGCAATCTAATTTTTGAAGAGTTTTTATGAAGTTATATTTAATATATTGAGAAAAAAATTAATGTATTTTCAGTGTCCTTTGAGCTGCAGATATGCCCAAGATTGGGTTTTATCTATCATTTTATTTCATTATATCTAAATCCACAGTAATCTGAAATAAATCATTTAGAGTAGAAAAAATAGCTTAAGAAAAGCTAAATCTCTTAAAGAAATGTATGAAAGCCAAAAATTTTCTAATAGGATTTCCTATTTTTCAACATAAAAGATGCATTAAAATTTGAATAATCCTTGTTTAAAATATTACATAGTGGCAGAAAGTTCTCTCCAACTAGAAAAGCATTAATTGACATTTTGGGATGTTTTGAGATACATCACACATATGAAATGGCAGAGAGCGCTTAATGATTAAGATAGCACTTTACTGTTTGGATGGGTAGACATGTGTACCAATGTAATACCGTCATAAAAAGTTATATTATTTATGGTACTTGAATTTTAAAAACATGAGCAGGGAGCTGGAGTTTTATTGCCTTCCTAAGGCTGTCACTGAAACCGCTCCTGTTATTGGTAGATACTTTACAAATCCTCTTTAATTATGATCATGATGCGGATAAATGCTGTTTCCATTTCAAGCCTTTGTAGCTTGAGATGAGTAGAAGGTAAAACCTCAGAATGATCTAAAAATCATAAAGAAATTTGGGGTCAGTATATAAGAAAGATCATTAGAGGAATTGAATGCTTGTAGCGTAATAACAAAGTATTTTTAAAATTGAAAAATGAAAAATTAAGAGAAAGGCCTTTGTCATGATCCATCCCTAATTAGTAGTTTTCCTTTATTATCAAAGTTTAACCTGAAGATAATGGTCTGGAGAGATTTGAGAAATTAGAGATTTGAGAAAACAATTGGAGACAAAATACCTTTTAGGAAATAACTGCAGTGAAAAAGGGAAATGAAAAGGGCCTACATTAGTGTCGTGGCTGTTAGAGTGGAAGGAAGAAATGCTTATGGGGATGCATTCTCAAGTTCAAATGATAGGACTTAGTGATTGACTGGCATGAAGTTTGAGGAATAGAGCCCAATAACCTCACTTCTGAGAACCTAACCGGAGGAAATAATTGGGGAGGGAGAGAGAGGTAATTTATAGTAGGGATCACAAACTCAGAAGCCTGGAAGGTTAACAAAAATGAGTAGAGTGGGAGGTGAGAGGACCAGGCTGGAGTGGTAACCGGAGAGCCCGCCTGGAGGGTGATGTGCGTGGGCTGATGTGCCCTGTGGGGGTGGGCGCCACTGCTGCCAAATTCAGGTTTTTCAAAAGAATCCAATAATTTGGATTTCATTAAAATCTTAGTTTTTAAAAATGTAGACAATTTATTGTTTTTAACAGCACTGTTGCCTAACAGAACACATCTGTGGGTTAAATTGGTCTGCTAATTTGTGAACTCTGGCTTATATAAATGAGGAAGTTTACCGTGGTGTTGTTTATTACAGTAAAAATTTGGAAGTACCCTAAATGTCAAATAATATGGTTATGTAAATAATCAATTTAAGTGAATTTTATAACCATGCAAAATTCCAGTGAAGACATGGGAAAATCTTGAAAGTATAATGCTAAATGAATAAAGCAGAACTCCAAATTGTATGTATATGCTGATTATCATCCTTGTAGCAGTTTGAATTGAGAAATAATAGATTGATCAATAGATAGAGATTAGAAGGGATAATTGTTTTAAAGTACTAAAAATATGCATACATTTCTTTCCTGTTGTAATTTTGATATTGCCATAATATTTCTTTTAAAATGGAGAGATAATTTTGGCCAGCTTATAAATCTGTAGTTCATATTTACGCTTTATTTGAACACCATCTTAGAATGTTTAAAGGCCTTAGGCTACATGGAGCGTGCTGCCGAGAGCTATGGCAAAGTGGTTGATCTGGCCCCCCTCCATCTGGATGCAAGGATTTCACTCTCCACCCTTCAGCAGCAGCTGGGCCATCCTGAGAAAGCTCTGGAAGCTCTGGAACCAATGTACGATCCAGATACTTTGGCACAAGATGCAAACGCTGCCCAGCAGGTAGGTGATGTAACACAGAAGGAAGTTTTTCTTGGTGCATTATATTTTAGGACTTTCTCCTCAGTTAAGGATGTCTCTACAGCTTATATCCAAAAGCTTTATTTTAGTGTTTTAAATTCCGTGTTTTTGAAAAATGATTTTGAGTCTTAAGTTTCAGCAACTCATTAGACATTGTAAATTGTAGTTTCCAAAATATTGGATCTTAATTATTATGAAAGCTCATAAAGCAAATGTTCTTAAGGTTTGATTTCTAAGGCAAAGCTTTTCTATGCAAACAAAACAACTTACAGCAAAAGCACCATATCACACTCATTATCATGTGCTTTTTTATTTAGGAACTGAAGTTACTGCTTCATCGTTCTACTCTGTTGTTTTCACAAGGCAAAACGTATGGTTATGTGGATACATTACTTACCATGTTAGCCATGCTTTTAAAGGTGGGTGATGATCTTTCTTTGTATTAGCCTTCTTGACCTTTTTTTATGTTTAGAATTTGATTTAAACATAGATTACAGCTATTTTAAAATTCTGTTGAACTCAAAAATTTATTTTTAATTTTTATTTATTCATTTATTTTATTATTTTATTGAGGTCATAATGGTTTAAACTCAAAATTTTTGAAGGGAAAGTCAGATAAAGCCAAAAGACTTAGAGATTAATGGTATGTAATTGAAAGTTCTACATGAAAGTGTAAACTTGACTGTTAAGTGAAATAAAATCCTTGCTAATGCATATTTAGAAAAGTGAGAAGCACAGTATTATCGATTATTGGCTCTTTAAATGCTGCTGTGTGCCAAACTTGTCACTTTGCAAAAATGTTTTCCAGATATGACATCCTTTCTGATTCTGGCTTTTTGGGGGGTGCGGTGAAGGGGGGGAAGATTAGCCCTGAGCTAACATCTGCTGCCAATCCTCCTCTTTTTGCTGAGGAAGACTGGCCCTGAGCTAACATCCATGCCCATCTTCCTTTACTTTATATGTGGGACGCCTACCATAGCATGACTTGCCAAGTGGTGAGATGTCCGCACCCAGCTTCCAAACCAGGAACCCTGGTCTGCCAAAGCGGAAAGTGTGCGCTTAACCACTGCATTGCTGGGCCAGTCCCCAGTTTGGCTTTTTTGCTGGGAGGTGTTTGTGTGTGTGTGTGTGTGTGTGTTGGTATAAAGTTAATGTGAATTACCTTCTTTTTCCCTACTGAGTAGTGTTACCCAAATTCCTTTGGTAAGAAAAAAATTAGTCTATTCGTTTTCTTTTAGGTGTTTTATACGTAATAATTTGGTCTTTTTTTCCCCTTACTAAAGCAGCTTTCGCACACCTGTGGTATTTGTTTCCCATAGATTTTCTTTAAAAAATTATGACTAAAAAAATCTCAAATTACTATCTTTAATTCAGGTAGCGATGAATAGAGCCCAAGTCTGTTTGATATCCAGTTCCAAATCTGGAGAGAGGCATCTCTACCTTATTAAAGTGTCAAGAGACAAAATATCAGACAACAATGACCAAGAGACAGCAAATTGTGATGCAAAAGGTAATTACTTTCATTTGCTTTATTACGTAAAACTTGACTGAGTTGATAAAAGACTCATGAAGTAACACCTGATCGTAGTCTAATTGAATCAGAGTGAGAATTACCTGGACAGGCAGAGCAGAGGGGTGGCGGTGAAGGAATGTGAACAGGCAACTGCCTCGTCTTGCCACCGTCAGAAGAGTACTGGCAGGAGAGTTCACTCCTGTGGGACCATGGCTGTTACATTTCACCTTCAAGTCACTCATGTGACTTTTTCTTTCTAATTCTGCTCTTTCTGGAAATACAGTGTCCTAACTGATTTTCATTGGTCTCATTTTAGCAATATTTGCTGTACTCACGAGTGTCTTGACAAAAGATGACTGGTGGAACCTTCTGTTGAAGGCCATATACTCTTTGTGTGACCTATCCCGATTTCAGGAGGCTGAGTTACTTGTGAATTCTTCATTGGAGTATTATTCATTTTATGATGACAGGCAAAAACGCAAAGAACTAGAATACTTTGGTCTCTCTGCTGCAATTCTGGACAAAAATTTCAGAAAGGCATACAACTATATCAGGTGATTTTTCAATAACTTATTTTAATCAGATTCTTTGCTAGGGTGTATATATTTACTTTGACTTAGTCTCTCACACTCAAAAATTAGCTGTTTTATTTTAACTCTCCTCTTGCTTGCTGGTTAATTCAGCTCATTTGTGATTCTGAGAGGCATGCACTCTCATATACTTAACCGCTTGTGCCTCTGTCTCCCTCTTTATAAAGTGGACATCATAATACTCCCACCTCGTAGTATTATTGTGAGGGTTAAATGAGTTGTTATATATAAGGCCTTTTCACCGTCTCCAGCACACGTTACGATTAGTTATGATTCCTTGTTCACTGTGGTGCAGCTGTAGTGGACAGAGAGAGAAAAGGTGAGACAGAAACCACTTGATTCTGTTTTTTGGTTTAAAAGTTTTGTTGAAAAGCCGAAACAATGCAGAAATACTAACCTAAGCTGCATTTTCCAGGAAAACTCTTCCACTGCGTAGTGTTTCTGCTTGACTAGATTGATTCAGGCTCCTTTTCCTTGGTGAGGGATGGTGTATTTCAGCGTTGGGAGGACAGCACTGAAGGGCTTCGTTCTTAGAATTCGGGAAGATTTTCTTTTTACAGTATTTTTTTACCCTCTCCCTCTCTGCGATTTTAGGATAATGGTAATGGAAAATGTCAATAAACCCCAGCTCTGGAACATTTTCAATCAAGTTACCATGCACTCCCAAGATGTACGACATCATCGCTTTTGTCTTCGTTTAATGCTGAAAAACCCAGATAATCACGCCCTGTGTGTGTTGAATGGACACAATGCATTCGTGTCTGGTAGTTTTAAGCATGCACTTGGTAAGTGTCCTGGCACGTGACTTTCTCAGGAATGGCCAAGTGTGGCGGCAAAGAGCCTGGCCTCTGGAGCAGAGCTGCCTGGTTTAAATAGCCACTCCCCCGTGGCAAGTTATTCTACTTCCCTCTGCCTCAGTTTCTCTCTCTCTGGAGTGGAGATAATAATTGGATCTACCTTGTAGATTATTGTGAAAATTAAATGAGTTAATATAAAATAGTTAAAACAATGCCTGGCGCACATGGTACGTGGCTGTGTTAGCAATAATGATATTGATATTAATATTTGCTTTTCTTAGGAAGCTTTGGTTTCAAAAGGCTGAAGTAGGTCTTATAGTTCATTTTAAAGGTCACCAGTTCTCCCTGCTTAGGCTTGTTGGTGTTTAAAATAATTTTCATTAATTATGGATGCTTTGCTACCTGATTTTTATTTGTTATAGTACAAAAAAGGATTTAAGATTTGCTGATAGTTCATTCCTTTAGGAGACAAGTCTTTATATCAAGATTTATTTACATAGGGCTTGCTAACTCTAATTAAACTCAGGGAAAATTCATTAATCATTTATAAGGAATTTATGTTATAAAGAATCAGAAGAAAACAGGTAGAAAAATACTTAACCAAATGTTTAAACTTAAAATAAGGCATGTATATCCTGCTGCCTAAAAGCTAGTGTTGCCAAGTTCACTTTTAAATAAACTGTGATTTTGGCTATTTAATACTTTCGTGTTTTTCTGTGTATGGCTGGCATTTTGTTTTTTGGGTTTTTTTAAAGATTTTTTCTTTTCCTTTTTCTCCCCACAGCCTCCTGGTACATAGTTGTGTATTTTTAGTTGTGGGTCCTTCTAGTTGTGGCCTGTGGGATGCCACCTCAGCGTGGCTTGATGAGCGGTGCCATATCCACGCCCAGGATCCAAACCGGAGAAACCCTGGGCTGTTAAAGCAGAGCGTGCAAACTTAACCACTCAGCCACGGGGCCGGGCCTGGCTGGTGTTTTTATAGTTGTTCAGCTAGTAGCCTTGAATATCAGATATTGAAACCTTCCTCCACTCCGTGTACTTTTGGAGTTGTTAGTTTAATATTAAGAAAATATAAAATAGAGATTTATTTTCCTATATTTAGAAACTTACAGAAGGTAAAAATAGAAAGTCCAAATGGCAGTCTACCATTTGGGCTGTTAAAGAGATTTTATGGTGCCATTCCTTCTGGAATAGGTGCCAGAAGGAATAGAAGTTTTCATCTACGTATGATAAATTCTAGATCATTCCTTTATAAGAAAAATTTTCTTAAATTCCCCTATCTCATATGGTTAGGCTTTTGACATGAGATAATTGTATATAGAGAATACATAGAATTCACAAAGCCCCAAATTCTTATTTTATTATTAGATACATTTAGCTTTTCTCAGGAAAAACAAAGTGGTTGCTACTCTTGGGAAAACAACACCCATAATCTAAAAAACAAATCAGAACTGTTTTTCTTTTTCTCACCTCCATGATCCATCACATTTGAATTTATAAGATGGATCGATTAATTTTACAAAAGAATTCACCAAAAGACACATTCCCCCGTTGCTTTTTAAATAGATTTAAGATCATAAGTTAGATTTATGGTCACAATTGATAAATTACTTTGGAAGTGTTAGCCTACATGGAAATGTCTAACTGGACCTAAAAGAAAGTTCCTTTTAGTTACTCATATTTAATCTTCATGGCTAGGATACGTTCATAGGTAAACTCTAATTTTGTTATAGTTATGTTATTTTAAAATTCAGATTAGTGTGCATCTGATTGATATGTTACAGTGTACACTTTGCATATGTTTAATATCAGTAATGGTTGTTTAGCCTTAAAATGTATATGAGTAAGTGTTGAAGAAATAAGGAAGTATGTTTTTTGTCACACCATCTGATACCACTGTTCGTTTTTCAGGACAGTATGTGCAAGCCTTCCGCACCCATCCCCATGAACCTCTCTATAGCCTCTGTATAGGCCTGACCTTTATTCACATGGCATCTCAGAAGTATGTATTAAGGAGACATGCTCTTATTGTTCAGGTAATTCTTTTGGATTTCTCATTACTTGATTTTATGTTCTCTAAAAATGAATATACTGAATGTTTTTGTTATCCTACTTCTAAAGTAATACCTGCCTAGTACACATGCTGGGAGTCCCAACACCTATCCGTGTGTACACACTCACGGGCTCAACATCTGTTGGTACTCCTGGCTAAGACTTAGGCAGCCGTGTAGAAAGGGTATACACCTGACCATTAAGAGATTACCACACAGGCAGCATCTGGAGGAATCCTGCGCAGGCTGCCTATAGTCTGAAGCCCCTAAGCCCTCCTGCCTTCCAGGTCCTGAAGATTGATTTATTTTAAGTTAGTTTTTAAAAATATAATAGGGGCTGGTCCCGTGGCCGAGTGGTTAAGTTCGCGCGCTCCGCTGCAGGCAGCCCAGTGTTTCGTTGGTTCGAATCCTGGGCGCGGACATGGCACTGCTCGTCAAACCATGCTGAGGCAGCATCCCACATGCCACAACTAGAAGGACCCACAACAAAGAATATACAACTATGTACTGGGGGGCTTTGGGGAGAAAAAGGAAAAAAATAAAATCTTTAAAAAAATATGTATATAATAATATATACATACAAAAATGTATGAATATTTGACTATGTGACTTTTTTTACATCATCACCAAATTGCTCTTTTAAAGTTTTCTTGGTTCATGTAATACTTTGAAGTTACCTTTTTCTTTTCTTGTTTACTTTTTTCTGGAAAGTAACCTCCCCTTCTGTGCAGTTTTGCTTCCCATGGTTTCAGTTATCTGCAGTCAGTTGCAGTCTGAAAATATTAATTGGAAAATTCTAGAAGCAAACAATTCATAAGTTTTAAATTGTGCACCGTTCTGAGAGGTGTGATGAAATCTCACACAGTCCTGCTCCCTCCTGCCAGGGACGTGAATCCTCCCTTTGTCCAGCGTATCCACGCTGTGTACACCACACTTAGTAGATAGTCTCTTAGTAGCTGTCTCAATTATCTGATCGACTGCCGAGATATTGCAGTGCTTGTGCTCGAGTAACCTTTATTTTACTTAATAATGGCCTCAAAGCGCAAGAGTAGAATATATAGTAGTTCAATACACACTTGTCAAATGAGTGAAATATTGAATCATTTCTTTCTTTTTGGTAGGGCTTTTCCTTTCTTAATCGATACCTCAGTCTACGTGGGCCCTGCCAGGAGTCGTTCTACAATTTGGGCCGTGGGCTTCACCAGCTGGGGCTGATTCATCTTGCGATCCACTATTATCAGAAGGCCCTGGAGCTCCCGCCGCTTGTGGTAGAGGTATTGTATGATTTACCGCAAAAACCAAGGAGTCACTTTGTTTCATCTATAGATAAGTGCACTTAGCTCAGTGTTGTGGTCCAGAGAGTGAAATAAATTATAGCTTATATATTAAAATGCAGTATTTCCTTATTTGATGCATTTATGTACTTAGGTTCAGTAACAAGTAGATCTTTGACATCCTGGCCTTATGACCTGATCAGCAACCATATGACATATACAACTTGTGGTTCCGACCATTTCGATTATCCTAAGATAGTGCCTCAGGCTTACAGGTGTCAGCTGGTAGAGGTGAAGCCTCAGTGTGAAGTGATGCGGCCGTTGTCCAGTTCCAAGTTCAAGTGAAACATATTTCTTATAAAGATGAAAGATCAGTATTAATGTAGCTTTGTTTATTTTTAGATAATGTGACATAGGGTAAAGTGTTGCCAGTACTATTATAATCTGTGATTAAAGTCTAATTTTTATTTTAATTTCTGAAGAAAATATGTTTTCATTGTTAATTTTTTTAAGTTGCACTCATAATCCCCACATTCCCTCAGATCTATATTCTGTTACCCTTGTTCAATGTTAGACGTTAAGCAAATGAAGACACACTTTTATAGATATGCTGATGAAATATATACATTTTTGTGTTCTTCATTTCATAAATACCTTTAGGTATTACTCCTTAAGCTTAGTAGGTATTATTTTTCATTGTTCAAAAGTTTGTACTGAGAAAGATTAGAAACATAGATCTAATCTATTCCATTGAGTTTATTGCTTTGTTATTTAAGTAGGAAAAAAGGTTATAACCCCTAAGGTAATCATTATACTCAATTTGGTGTATGCCCTCCTGGGCCCATTCTTTACATGCCTGTCTGTTATATAGCACTCGTATTTTTTCCCATCTCGTCATTTGTGTTATAATTTACTTATTTTTTTACATGAAGAAGTTTTACATTTCTTATGAAGTCACACCATTAATCTTTCCTTTTGTAGTTTCTACTTTTGCTGTTATACTTAGAAGGGCCTTTCCTACCCAAGATTATATTATTCAACTTATTTTTTTATGGTTTCATTTTTTCACTCTTAAATCCTTAATTCAACTGGAGTTTATTCTGCTGTGGCTTGTGGGTGAGACTTATTCTTTAACTTATTGGTTAGACACTTAAAAATATTTGATGATAGTTACTGTAACAATTCACTGAATCAGCATTATCTGATAAAAATTTAGATCCAAGGTATATCATAGTTTTATAATTTTTTTTAATATTGTGAATTTTGATAGCTTTTTGAACACTTACACTTATGAAACTGTTTCTTTGCCATAAAATTGTCCTGGTTGTCAGTTTGAAATATAACGCATTCATATATTTTTTTCCCCTAGGGTATAGAAGTTGACCAGTTAGACTTACGAAGAGATATTGCCTACAACTTATCCCTCATTTATCAGAGCAGCGGGAATATTGCAATGGCTCAAAAGCTTTTGTATACCTATTGTTCTATATAAAGCACCTCAACTGAGAAAGGAGCATTGGGTAGCTGCTGTGTGTGGACCAGGATTTTCTGTCTCAGGGCTTATTATTAACCCCAAAATGGAAATGATAATTTCACAGTTATCTAACATGTAATTCATTTTTAATATGTGATAATGATCTTTTAGTAGATTTGCAAAATTATCATTCCTACAAGAATTCATATGTTGTTGTATTTCCCTTTAGCTTTTTTTGTTTTTTTCTCTGAGGAAGATTCACCCTGAGTTAACATCAGCTGCCAATCTTCCTCTTTTTGTATGTGAGCCGCTGCCACAGCATGGCCACTCACAGAAGAGTGGTGTAGGTCCATGCCCGGGAGTCAAACTCGAGCTGCTGAAGTGGAACGCATCAAACTTAACCACTAGGCCGCTGGGGCTGGCCCTCCTTTAGCATTTTTCAGCAAGAGTGTCCTCAAAGTGGAAATAGACAGTATTAGCCTTTAAGCCAGCTTGGAGTTGAATACACTAAGTTTTTACTCAGACCATTTATTCATCTGTGCATTTAATACTATATATTCAACACCTACTATGTACTAGGCACTGTAGTTGGTGCTGGGAATACAATAGTAAGACAGATGTGACCTGTCAATGCGATTCTTTAAATATAGAACTCAAGCATATATTTATTTGTAAGAAATGTTTGCTATATTTCTACGTACACCATCGTTGTTAGTCATCCATTTCTTAGTGCGCTGTTACTATTGCATGGGCAGTTTTTCAAATACACAGAAAAGGAGGTTGCTTATTAAAGGAAAGACAAATTGGGACTCTTTCTGATGTCAGTACAATTACATAAATCACTTCGCTCCTAACAAAATTATTTAAAATGGTTGTATGGTGGGAAGACAAATAATTGAGTTAATCTTTTACTTTTCACTTGCGTGTGTCTTAACTACCTGGACTGAGTGAGACCTGGGACAGTGGGCTTAGTTCACACCAGTCTGCTCTGAGGCAAATAAAAAAGTACATTACCAATGTTTGTGGCTTTCTGACAAAAAAGTAGAAAAGAGAGGACCATGTTCAGTAACATGATCTGGTTTCCATTTCAAGATCACCAGGAAGGGAGAAAGACTGGGGAATGCTATATATGGAATAAACTATTGCTGATAAAGTAAAAAAAATAGATAAAAACCTTTACTTATCTCAAATATTGTATGTTCTTGAATCTAAGATCACAATTCTTGTTAGATATACTATTGGTTTAATAACAGCTTTTCAGAGTTTCTTTTTAGGGGAAAATAAATGCTATAATAAATGTGCATATAGAGTGTAAGAACCAGTCTAGTTGTGGGAGGGAAACAAGTGTGAGACTTAGGATCAAAGAAATACAGTGGGGGTTTTTTAGGAATTCTTACCACTGTTTACACCACATACATAACTTTGTAGTTGAAAAGCAGAATTCATATGTAATAAGTAAATGTGTCGTGCACTCTGTATGTATGAGTGTGTGTATATATATGTATGTATGTATATAATTTAAATAAATTTTATTTTTGTAATTAACGTTCATTGTTTCACATGCTTATATATATATTTTATTTCATGCCATTGTCAAGAAATGATAAAGCTGACTGTGAGAGAGTCGTAAGGTAGATTTGAGTTTTCTGGGTTGAGAGTTTCTCTCTTGACTGAAACTGACTGGGCTGTGACTCCAGTATCTGCTGAGCAGCCTTGGAGGAAACAGTACATCTCTCTAGCAGTTTGCTAAGAAGAAAGTTGGTATTGCATGTTTAGCATTTAAAATCGTGGCTCCCATCTGCTGAGTGTTTTGCGGCTGTCGGCTAAGTACAGTGCGATACTTTAGATGCATTATCCAATTCTCTCAGAATCACCTGCGAGGTAGGTGCTGTTACTGTGGTTACTGTCATCTCCCTCTTACATGTGAGAGATTAAATAGCACGTTCAAGATCACTAGCAAGCTACTCCTTGCTCAGAGGTGTTCCTTCGGAGGAGCATACTTCCTCCAGAGTAACAACCTAAAAATTGTGCATAATTTTATTTTAGAAAGAAAAAGGTGACTGGCACTTATTTTTTTATTATCTTCCACCCTTCAGCCTATTAAAACCCTCTGTAGAAAACATCTTTTTGGGTGTCTTTTAGGAAGCTGATATTCACTTTCTTACCTACCATCCTTCCCCCAGCCGTGGGATCCTGACAGCCACTTTATACAATGAGATTCTTTTCTACTGGTCACAGTGGATTCCCCTGGGAGTCTGCTCCTGAACCAAACTGGGCCAATCAAGAGTTTTCTCCCTCCTTCCCTGGGAATTTTAGAATTGGAATAGAGCCTTTCTATGGGCCTTGGAGCTTGAGAGAGATGGGGCCATTTTCTGCTTTCCCTGTCGGCCAACTAGCAGTTAACCCATTCCATTGAGCAGGAAAAACAAAGCCTACGCATTAAGAGAAGCAGAGACGAGGGATGGAGAGAGCACGCCTGGGATGCCCAGAGATGTTCGTTTTCCACTCCCATCCTCTCTAAGGCTGCATTCTTACCCTTGGGTTCTTTCTATAGGATATCTCCGATTCCATAAAAAATTCCACTTTAAAGTTCACACTAGCTTGAATTTTTCTGTTATTTGCACCCAAAAAAGTCCTAACCAATCCACTATCATTTCATCTTTTCATTTAGCAGTCAGGCATTTTAGCAATTTTCATAAGAAGGAACGGCAGGTAGCCACCAGGGATGATGTCGCTGAATTATAAGTAGCATCATGAAGTCTAATCCACAATAAAGAGCCTTTTAAAAACTTCAGAGCAAGAAAAGGCGTGTGCCTACTCTCTGTTGGTATAGAGTAAACAGGTAGACCATAGGAGTGTTCAATTACTATGCTGCTTACGTAGTTAATACTATAAGAAGCATAATAAACAGAACAAGGTAGAAAAGCATGGAGAAGAAGGAGTTAATCCCAAGCTGGGTGAGGCTTTGGTGAGGGAGAACTGAGTTTCATCTCCAGGTCCAAAGTCCCAAAACCAATTGCTGTTATGTTACGAAACTGCAAATTGTAATTTTTGAGGCATTCTAAACAAAATGATTAAATAATTTATGAAGTGGGCAAAAAGGTGGATTCTGGAAACCACTTGACCAAGTTGATCCTGACATGACTCTGCTGATTTGTGTGCCCTTAGAAGTGGTGCCCTTTAGGACATCATATTCCTTTTCCTTGGAAGGGAACTTGGTGTCTCAGGGGACTACTATAGTTTCAGCGTATCTGGATTCCAGCAGAGGACTTGAGGAAGCCTGTTGTGATATGCTTGTGGATGGACTGGAGAAATGTGGCTGTTTGATCTTCAACTGGTAGAATGACCAAACCCAAAGAATGCGTGTTGATAGACTGACGTCAACTGGAGAGAAATGGCAAATGATGTGCCATCAGGTTCTTTAACATCAACAGCTTAGGTGAAGATCTAAGCAGCTGTCGGATTTACATGTGGGCAAACTAGAAGTTATAGTAAGTACCAGTATTCATGAACCAAGAATGAAAACTAAATGAACTACAAGTAATAGTTCAGAAAAAAATTAGGCGCTTAAGTTCAAGAACATCAACTTTGTGGCTAATTTACCAGTCGCTTGTTGAAAATTCTTTGGGAGTTTTAGCTAACAGCAAATTCAATATGAATCGACATGGTGATGTTTCTATCAAATGAATGTAATATTAGGCAACTTCAGTGAAAATAGGGGAAAGTAAGAGTATCCATTCTGATCGGATCCCACTGAAATAAAGTCTGCAGAAAATGACAAATAGGAAAGTGACGGTTCTTAAAAAAATAGCACATGGAGAACTCCAAAAGGAAATCAAGGCCCAGCCTAGAATATGGACGACTTGAAAAAGGGAACATCATAATTCTTTTCAAATAGTCAATGGAACACATGCGGGGGAGTTATTACTCTTATTCTGTGTAGCTTAGAATAAATAGCATCTCCCTTTTTTCTAATCTAGCTTATAAGATACATTTCCCTAATATTGTCCCTCATTTATTGTCTGCACAATCATTGGCAATTGGCATCTTCTGCCTAGTATTAACATCTTTTTGGATGGTGACTAGCTCACACATCCTTCTTTTCTGGAAACAGCCCCCAATAAAGACCAAGTCCTCCTGGGCACTGCTAATTGACTTGACCCAAGCTGGGTCGATCATATTCTCTCTTCCTGGTATTTTGAATCTTAGCCTAGAGAGAGTATAGACCCGGTGTCTTCGGAACTGGATTACACTAACGCAGTGCTTCAAGGAAAAAGGCTAGCAGAGTCCTGCCACTGAGGCACCTCGAGCTCTCCTTCCTTCACAAGTGAGTTCCTCATTTGATTCCGCAAGATAACTGTGTCTTTTCAACAGATTCTCTTTCTTACAGAAGCTGGCATGCCCGTTGGGCTCTCCAGGAAGGAGGCGAGTAACGCTTGGGAGGAAAAGAGCGGAGCAGGCTTGGGCGCGGCAGCCCTCAGAGTGCGATGCGGACCTGACACGAGCCGTGCCAGGCCAAAGGAGAGTTCTGGAGCAAAGACTGCCTGTTGGAGGAGTCCTGTGATGGTGGACATGGCTAGGCCCGTACAGCATGCTCAGTCATTGGCTGGAAGTCACCGGAGAAGAGCATGACTTTGGGTATCTCCACCTTGCTCAGTCATTGGCCGGGGGCCTCTCTGAGAACAGCGTGACTTCGGCTTGGAAGCTGCGGCAAAGCTTGAAGCTGCCACAGCTGAAGGCACTCAAGTAACCACACCCCTGGTCTACAGAGACCACAGAGGTTTCGAGGCTAAAAAACAACCCACCCCCAAACCAACCAAACAAAAAACACAGTATAAACTCAAGACCAAAGAGAATAGGAGAAGAGCTGACAGATGACAAAATAATTTTAGAAACTAAAAAGCAAACTAAAGGGCAATTGGTAACTAACTTAAACCAGAGGAGAGTGAGAGCGCGGTGCCCGGGGAGGTGCATGGAGGCCGCCAGGCGCGCGGACGCCGTCCGGAGCCTCCTGCGGAGAGACGGGCGGGGCGCGCGGACCGCCGCGAAGGGGCAGCCTGGGCCCCCCGGGGACCTCCCCCGGGAGCGGGGCTGCGGCACCCCGCCCTGCAGGGCCCCGGGTTATCTTCCGGAGCCGGCGGAGTGGGCGCTCTGGATCTCGAAGAACAGGCCGAGCCGGAAGCAGAGGGCTGCACCGAGGGCAGAGGATTCGGTGCAGGTCCTCACCCGACAGTGATCTCGCCTCCTCCTCCTAGCTGGCGCCCAGGAAACTGGCGGCCGAGTTAATGCCCTCGAGTGGGGATTAGAGGGCCCCTCTCCGCGAAGATGCTGCCCAAGCAAACAGACCTATAGATGCTGATAGTTGGGAGTCCTCAGTGAAACAGCCTGGTCCTGGCCAGGGAACCTGCCCGTGGACGAACCCCTCCCGCTCCCACCGAGCCCCGGTCAGCTCGTAGTCTCCTGCCATCCGTGTGGACGGACAGCTCATCCATGATCATTAGCCGTTTGAGGACAGCCTCCGAAACGACAGAGAGCCACACAAGCAAATGGGCGGGGGCGGGGGTGCTAAGGGAACAGAACTAATGCAGGAAGCAGAAAAATAAAGAAAATGTAATTAATATCTCCAGATGAGAAAATATTGTATCACTGAACAGAAGAATGCTATTAAAAGGAATATTTAAAGAATAAGAGAGAGCTTTATGAAATTAAAAATGTAACTGCCTAAACTAATTCAATGATAGAGTTGGGAAAATAGAATTTTAAAAAGACGAAATCGAAAATTGAAGAGATGAGAAAATTTCAGATGAGAAAATTAAAGTTTATGAAAGTCTAATTTACAAGTGCTTTGTGGCAGTTAACCATATCTTATAAATTCACTTCTATTTCAAGGTATTTGATTGCTTAATTATAAATAATTCGAGTGGGAGAAGCAAACCCCCGCAGTGATTTTTTTATATGCAGCAGAGGGCAGTACATTTCTATAAACTTAGACTTGTACTTCATCATTGCATTGTCTTAATACAGTCATGCCAGCTTTTAGTATTGTTCACAAAAAAAGCTTAATTTTTTTTATTTGGACAAAAAATATATTTTTATTTTAAAAAAAAATTTCTGTTTGGATAGAAAAAATGTCAGTATCCCCCTCCCCATTTGGACAGTCATATCCAAAAAGCTCTGTCCCTTTGCACCGCTTACTCCATCAGCATGGAAGGAAGGACAGCTGGGGCCCTAACCAGTGTTTCTTGCGGCCCATTTCCCAGCCTTGACCAAAAGAATGTCTAGCAGACATCAAGGGAACTGGCTCGTGCTGGAAAAGTCACTAATCGCACCCTGAAGATCACGCCCAAAATTTACCCCGTTTGCAGACCCAAGGTAAGCAAGCTAAGGTTACAGTGAGGATTCGCAGGCCCACTTGGCATTTTAGTAAAGACAGTCAGGTGTTTATATTCAGAAAAGGGAGTTGAAGCTGGGGAAAAGAGGAAAGAGAAAGCCAAGAAACAGTCCCTGGGGCTCAGCACCCCGGGCTGCAGGAAAGGCCGGTGCCGTCAACCCGATGCCGCCGATTCTAAGCGTTCCGTTTCCTCTTGAGAGCTCTAGGCTCTAATCTCGGATTCTAGTTTCAGAGGGGTTTGAATGCAGCAAAATGAATGTTTTTCTTTAAGCATGTCTACATACCTCGAGACAGTTGAAAGAAGTATTTTTCTAATGACACGCTTTCTAGAATTAGTCTGCCTTGTTTGGCCAGATGCTCGTAAGCTTGTGCTGTGGGTGAGGCCCGATCCCGCATCTTCTCCTTTTGAGGTGCTCCTCTCAGCCCTGCAAAGAAGGAAGAGAACGGTAGTGACTCCGACCACTAGAGGGAGGTGACATCCACAGGACTTCCAGCCAGGCAGGCTGCCCGCCGGCAGCCGGGGTCTCCTGGGGCCGGGGAGGCAGGCACACCCGGGGCCGCCCGTGCGCCCTGCAAGAGCGCCAGGACGTGAGAAAGGGTGGAAAGTGGGTCGCTCTCGAGACACAGATTAAAACCGGCTTTGGGGTGAGTGAAGAACAACTCACATTGACTCTGTTTCCCGGAGGTGATCAAAGCCTGAAAATATCCTGATGATTTCTGCAGGGTCACGACGGGTGGGTTTCCCCTCCTCTCCATACTCTCTTCTCTTCCCATCCCCTTTCTTTTTCTAGAAGGTCTCTGGTAAGCCTGAGAGAAGAGGCCCACACGGTTAGCGTGTTAACACTGAAGTTCTGCGGTGTCAGCCGGTATCAACACCGTCAAGGTCTGTCTGTCTCACAGATGACTCACCTGTGAGACCTGAAGTTTTCCTCCCTGGACGCACAGGGCCTGATTTCCCCCTTCCTGGGGCAAAGAAAAGAACTGTGTGTGCCTCCTGACACGGCCAGGATTACTGGATGGCAGGTGCCTGCGCTCTGATAGGGCTCCAAGCTACCCCGGCGGCTGGCTGCACCAGTTGTGTGAGCTCGCCTCTTTCGTCGTGCCCGCCTCACACTTGGCATTGTTGTCCCAGTGGACGGGTGAAAATGGTGGCTGCATTTGCATATGAGTGAGGTTGAACTCTGTCTTCTCATATGTTTATAAACCTTTTGGATTTTTTTTCTTTTCTGAATTGCGTTTGTCATATCCTTTGCCCATTTTTAAAAACGTTGAGCCCTGTTTTTCTTGTTGAATTGTAGGCATTCTTTATTTAATCTGGAATTAAGTCTTTGTTTTTTTTTTTATTTATAGTACCTTTTTGTAAAACTCAAATTTACAATTATTGGTATAATTAAATTTATCAATTTTTCTCCCCCTTCTATGGCCAACATAAAACTTCAAAAGAAATCTCGATTGTGTTTAGGAAAGTAGGGAAGATCCTGGAAAATCTGAGTTCTCAGGAAGAGCCTGTAGAAGGCAGACCAGCCCCACCTCCATCTGGCCCGACGAAAAGTAGAGAACGGAGGGGAGGACCTTGACAGCCAGGTGGGAAGCCGAGAGGCTCTGGAGCGGATGGCTGCTGGGGGAGACAGAGGCAGCTCCGGAACGTGGCGAGACTTCTCAGAGACTGAGGCAGAGGTGAATTTTGAAGGATTTACAAGGCTCTCCTTTGCGATGTTGTAAGGATTAAAAATGCAGAGAGAGTACACGGCCCGTGTGCTTGACTGCCTAAGGGTTTCGTGGCAGACTTTTGGCTTTGCCTTATATAAAAGATCAGAGTCTCATCACGCAGCCGGGAGTCTCCCCTAGCCGGAGACAAGAGCTTACCAGATCTGTCTTTCAAGGCGGTGGAGACGGGGAGCAGCCAAGTCAGCGCGGGCATCTGCGGGCCAACGTCAGGCAGCGCAGGAGGCCGAAGACGCCCCTGCGATTCCCGCTGTTGTCCTAACGGAGGAGGGCGAGCTGGGCCCGCGCTGCAGAGAGTCCCAGAACGCGCTGGGGAGCTCTCTCAGGTCGGGTAACGCTGTGGAGCAACTGAGGCAGAAGTGACCCCGAAGGTGTGGGAAGAGACGCCGGCGCCCGTGGGAAGGGAGTAGCTTTCAGTCCGGGGAGGGCTCCTGGGGGAGACCGCGGAGTCTCCCGGCGGGACCTTTGTTGTTGGCGGACTCTGCCTGCCCACAGGCGCCTTGCGATGGTTCTGGAAAAGGTGCAGAAGTGCTGAGGGGTCGCAGAAAGTGGACTGGTGGTCCCGACTGCGCCAGGCAGATTCCACCGAACGTTCACCTCAAGCTCCCCTGGGCTCCCCGCCCCGCCATGAGGCAACTTCAGGCCTTTTTCTAGCCTGGAGGGGGTAGGGTGGCGAAAAGCTGTGTCACAGGGAGAGCCCTGCTGAGAGGTGGTGGTCCCAAGGAATTATGTTTCGTGAGTCACTCTGTGAGTTAATACTGACAAGGTCTCCATGGCTTGAAAGCAGAGTTTCTTGTACTCGGGATGCCCTGTGATGAGCCTGCTCATTTCCAGAGCCTGTTGTCAGGGTCAGAGAAGCAGCAGACGGGCTGCAGGGTGTGCCAGGTCCCCGGGCTCCCCGCCTCAGGTGAGCTGGCCATGGCCGGCTCGGGAACCCGCTCTTGTTGGCAATGGGCTAAGGAAGGCGTTACACACACGTGCTTACGTTCCTTTGTATAACACAGCCCTCCACATTCCCCAGAACTCCCGGGAGGGCTGCGGTCAGGGTATTAAGTACAGGATAATGCTTTGTGCTCCCCCAGCACCCAACCTAGAAATGAAAAGAAGGTTAATATGGACGCTGAGGGCGAGGAACAGGCATGTTGTCTCTCTCCACCTGGGAACAATGGAGTTACAGGAGCGTAGACATTTAATGAATGTTGGAAAGAGTGTGGTCACAGATCCATGATTTAACGCAGTACCGTCCGATAGAACTTTGTATGCTGATGTAAATGTTCTTTATCTGTGCTGTCCAGTTTGGTGGCCACTGCCACATGTGGCTGTTGAGCCCTTGAAATGTGGCCACTGCAACCGAGGAACGAAATTTTAAATTGCATTTAATTTTAATTAATTTAAATTAAAATAGGCATGTTGGCTGCCATATTGGACTGTACAGATTTGAAGGACCATATTAAGGAAGTCCTAATTAATGGCATTATATCTGAATTTCAAAGTTCTTGTGCATTTCCAATAGTCCCCAAGAGATGGAGGCTATATATGAATTGCAGGTCACTGAACAAACGACCTTAGATTGATCAGTTCACTGGGCCCCGAGTTCAGGATGCCCTGGACGGCCCGATGGGAACTAGCATGTTAGCAATAGGTGCTACCCGATGCTCATGGTGGAGAAAAAAGAGAAGACGGCTCCATTTGCCAGGATAGGGGCATCACTGGAGAGCCAGCTGTCTTCCGGCCGCTGAGTGGTTGCCACAGGAGCTAGTTGGAGGTGCTTCTGTAGGTAAAGACTCAGTGATGTTGGAAGAGCTTTGAAAGAGCATGAGAAACAAGTCTCTGAGGTGGTGGCTCTCCTAGGGGAAATAAGGAGGGAAGAAACCTATCACCTGGAAAGTGTCATTTCTGTTGCACGTCAGAGAAGTATGTGGAAAATATTTTTAATAAACATTGAATTCAGAGATTTCTTCCCTGGCCCATCAACCTCTGAACACTAGTGACATGTTTTGAGTTCACCGGGAACTTCGGGGGGTTTGTTGGAGATGGCCTGAAATCATCAGCCTTCACCAGTTAGACTGAAGAGTCACTGGGCAGCGTGGGGACCTCCCCCAGCCTGGGAAGAGGTCAGAGACAAGGAGCAGTCCAAATGCTTCTGGACGCTTCCGCACCCCCAGAGTCTTGCTTGTTACTCACTGTGTTATTCAGGAGGGTTGGAGGAAGAAACCTGTGGTATTTCTGCTGGTTGCTTTTCTGACAGCGAGGCCCGTGTGTCCCCTCTGACGTTTCGATGAAGTGCTCTGGCAGGTGTGTGCCCCAGGTGCAAGACCCGGCAGGTGGAGGGGAGGAGGAATCGCGGCAGGTTTGTTCTTTATTCGTTAATTGTATTTTCCAGAGGACTATTTTTTCCTAGTCTTTTTTTTCTTTAGAGTTTCTGCCTTTGGTGTCAGTCTTAGAAATGTCTTTCTCTCCACAAGATGACAAAATTTCCGCTCACGTAATCTAGTACTTTTATGATTTTGTTCTTTCCCTTTTTAAAAATTGTGGTTAAATATACGTAACGTAAAGTATACCATTGTAGCCACTTTTAAGTGTCCAGTTCTGTGGCATTAAGTACATCCCATGTTTGTGCAACCATCAGCACCATCACCTCCAGAACTGTCTCGTCCTCCCCCACTGGAACACTATCCCCTCTCCCCCAGCCGCTGGTGACCACATTCTACTCTATCTCTATGAATCTGACTACTCCAGCACCTCATAAGTGGAATCATACAATATTTGTCCTTTTGTGACTGGCTTATGTCACTTAGCATAATGTCTTCAGGGTTCATCCATGTTATAGCATGTGTCAGACTTTCTTTCCTTTTAAAGGCTGAATAATATCCCATTCTATGTAGATACCAAGTTTTTTTATCCATTCATCTGTCAAAGGACATTTGGGTTGTTTGCACCTGTTGGCTACTGTGAATAATGCAATGAACGTGGGTGCACAAATATCTGTTCAAGTCCCTGCTTTCAATTCTTTCTAGGATACCCAGAAGTGGTGTTTTTTCTCTTTAAATGTATAATCCATCTGAATATAAAGGCTTGTATTGTGAAGTAGGATGAGGTGGAAACCCACTTTTTTTTAAATAAACGGCCAACTGACTAGCCTGTTGTCTCAACTGACTTTACTGAGAAATCTTTTACCAGGGTTTTATTTTTTTGGTGAGGAAGATTGGCCCTGAGCTAACATCTGTTGCCAATCCTCTTTTTGCTTGAGGAAGAGTGTCGCTGAGCTAACATCTGTGCCCATCTTCCTCTACTTTGTATGTGGGATGCCACCTTAGCATGGCTGGATGAGCAGTGTGTAGGTCCACACCCAGGATCTAAACCTGTGACCCTTGGGCTCCCGAAGTGGAATGTGCGAATTAAGCACTACATCACTGGGCCAGCCCCCGTTTTACCACTGTTTTGAAATGCTGTGTGCGACGTCCACTCTGCTCAGCCAGCACAGTGGTCTCAGGACACTTGCACTCACAAGACCAATAGGCCACACCTGGCATCAGCTTCACTTAGATCTGCAGAAAGATGCAGGACAGGAATTACAGTATGTCAGCAGAACAGCATCAGCTGTGTCATCACCGAGGGTCCTTACAGAGTTCAGGAGCTTGTCTTGTGGCCCTCAAGTGACAGTGCAGGTAAAAGAGAACAAGGCCGCACAGGAACCGAGACCACCATAGGAGCCAGTATCGCTTGTGAGAGCCCATGAAGCCCCATGAACATGGCTTCCAGGGCGCCGCGAGGGAAGATGCACGAGCTTATGAGAGTTGACTGCAGCCCCAAGGCCCTGCCTCCACCAGCCCTTAGAGTCCATTTATGGTCCTCCCAGTCTAGGTGCAATTTGCTCTTCAGGGGCCATTTTCACGATAAGCAACGTTGCCTGGTAACAGAGCTGACATCCCACCCTCTCAGGTTTCCAGGCAAATGATGCTGGGGAAAGTAAATCCAAGGTCTTTTCCTCATGGAAAAGGAGAAAGGGTTTTGTTAACTCTGCATTCACACGGTCTTTATCACATACCAAATTCTAAAGGTGACTACTTCTGGAGTTTCTATTTTGTTCCATTGAATCTGTTAGTCTATTCTGAGGCAGTACCAAATTATTCCAATGATTGTAACTTTACAACACACTTATTTTCTATTTTCTCTGGTACTCTGTCCTGCAACTCCAGCAGCCTTTGTCTCCCTGGACTCAGCTTTGGCTCCTTAACTCAGGGAACCCACAGGCTCCACCCTGGTTTCCCATCTTGCATTGTAGCCTGAACTCTCTCAAGGCTGTAAGTTTGGGCAATGGTAGGGCTCACCTCACTTGTTCCCTTTCTCTCAGGGATCACTGTTCTTTGATACATAATGTCCAGTCTCTTAAAAACCATTGCTTCGGGGCCACCCCGTGGCCGAGTGGTTAAGTTTGTGCACTCTGCTTCGGTGGCCCAGGGATTCGCTGGTTAGGATCCTGGGTGTAGACATGGCACCACTCCCCAAGTCATGCTGTGGCGGCATCCCACATGTCACAACTAGAAGGACCCACAACTAAAAATACACAACTATGTACCAGGGGACTTTGGGAA